AGCAGTTTCAGGCCTGTTTGAGCATGACATGTATCGGGTATTCAGTGGTAGTTGGCCCGAGAGGAAAGCCCACGTTAGAGAACTGTGGCGGAGAAAGAAACCCTAAGGAGGAATGTGACCGCAGAGATAGTACAGAGGGCAGGACACTTGCCTTGCACGTGGCCGCCCAGGCTCCCGTGTGGTCCCTTGAGCCCTGAGCACAGCCAACGTGGCCCAAACCCAAGCACCCCCCTCAAAAAAAAAAAGTCAAGGGAGTAAAGGGAAGAACCAAATTGTGGAGGCCTTTGACTAGAAGTAGTTTTGAGGCTGTGTGTTGATGTGTGAGGCTTGAGCTCCAAACAGCTTTAATTCGCTTGTGAAGAAAAGGTACTGAGTTCTTTGAGAAGAACGCAAGCAGTTGTGTTTTATTCTTTCATTTTGGAATTGCTCACTTAGCAAATAATTTTCACATTGATTATGTGTAAGGAGCTGTGGGAAATATCCCTTAAAGGAGTCTGGGACTAGTAGGGACTTAAGCGCTCTCTCTCTCTCTCTCTCTCTCTCTCTCTCTCTCTCTCTCAGTTCTGAAGAAATGTTGCCAGGACAGTGTTTTTTAAATTCGCTCCTTTTATATTCAGAATGAAGTCGCCACTACATGTGGCACTCACTTGGGCAGAACAACCTAAGAAGGGCCGTAAGGAGGAGAAGGCCTTTGAGCCATGCTCTGCAGAACTTCGTGTGCGGAGAAAACGGGAAAGTTCTTCCAGGTAGGGCAGGAGACTTGGTGAGCAAAGGCCCTGCAAAGCACACTCCATATAAGGAAAGCCTTTTGGCAGAAGCACAACTCTGTGGAAAGCTATTTGGGCAAAAGGCTGGGAAGATAGGTTAGAAAGCTGTCACTGGGTGGCGGCCAGCGAGCGACTTGACTCAGGCAGCAGGGGACTTCAAAGAATTCTGAGCAGGAAGTGACTTGTTCACAGCTTTAAGCAGGGTGTCGGGAGCGAAGGCAGGAAGGGGGCTTAAGCTAATGAGACTGAGAGCACAGTGGGACTAGGGGAGAATTTCGGATGGGAGGCTGATTGTAGATGGAGAAATAGGAACAATTTCGTTTCTCCCTCGCCTGTTGCCTTCCTCCAAACTGCTGGTGTTGTGTAACCCATTTCCTGTTGAAATTGGTTTAGCTGCTTCAAAATCCTTGTTATATAAGTCAAAAGTTACATAAGCAGGAGGCATCAGGACATTTGGCTGTTTTTGTTTGTTATAAGTTGTGTGTGTAATAAAAATTTTAAACATGGATAAATACATTTTGTTGGTGGTGGTGCAGCTGGGGATCAAGCCTAGGGTCGTGATATACAAGGTGTGTGCTCTACTGTGAGCTGCATCCTAGGACCTAGGGTGTAGATTTTTTAATTTACTTTTATTAAAAGCATCATGGTGTACAAAGTTAATGGTTGGGTTTTAGACATGCTGTGTTTCGGCACCAATCCCTCCACCACGTTTCCCGAGGTCCCTCCCTCTTCCCACACCCCTTCCCAGCCTGCCACCTTCACAGGCAGTTTTTTAAGTCTGGTTATTAGGCTTGCGTCTCTTGTTTCAGTGTGGTTGGCTGCAGTTTGGAGATTTCGCTCTCCCACTTCTTTCCCCGGATACTAGGGTCCCCTTGGCCCCTGTTCCCCTTTGCTTCCCATCTCTCTCTTCCCCATCCCCCTTAATTTCCTTCCTTCTCTGTCCTCCTTGTACTCAGGGGCCGAGGGATCTAGGCATACACCCCCAGGATGTATGTATGTTTTCAGGCTTATTTGGTGTCTTTCAACCTCAAACTGCTTTTTGCAGTGACAACAAGCTTGAAACGGTCCGTCCAAAGTGAAGAAGGTTACTTTTTACTTTTGAGCTATAGGGCATTTCCATTTGGGAGGTCCTAAGAGTAATCAGCATTCTTCAGAGAAGAAGGTTAAATTTCTCGTGTTCAAGAATGAGAAAGGAAGGTTAATTTTGAGGGGTCTAATAAGTCCAGAGGCTTTGTGGCATCCTCTTACCTGCATGGGTTGGGTTTTTTGTTTGTTTGGAATGCCTCATGTGAAGAGTTAGCCTTGAACTGACTCTTGGCCAGTGATTTATTAATTGGAGTGGTTTTTCGGTTGAATTGCACAGATGCTATTTGTGAACTTTGTGGGGAGAAGTGGGGTGGTGTGCCGTGGGGCCACCCCTGGCAGTGCAGAGGGACCTTGTGATGCCAGGGATCGAACCCACCCAGGGCTCCGGCATTCATGATTCCCATACCAGGCCTTTGGGCCTCCTCCCTGGCCCTGTTCCATGAACAGGGGAGCGCGCTACCACGTGGCTCTTCCCTTTGAATTGGTCTGCAGACTGGAACATTGCCATAGTTGATCTTAGAAAAAGCTGGCCCCTCTCTGCTTCTTCCTCACTTTTAGGAATGATCGAGTGGGGTGACTTAATGGTGGGGGTAGCATCCTAACGAGAAAGGCTTTCTGGGGAGCCAGGAGCATACCCCGAGCGCTGCTTGGGTGTGGCTCCAGAACAGAAAACGAAGGACCTCGGGCCAAGGAGTTTAGACAGCCTGAGAGTATGTCATTTGAAGACAGGAATAGCGTGCCTTGGATGTTGCAGTGGATGCAGACGAGGCTGTGTATGTGGAGATGGCAAGGAGCCACCAGCATCTCAGTGCAGGGCGGCAGGGTTCTCTGCACTCGGCAGCCTTTGGGCGACGGCTAGTGTCTCTCAGCCTCTTCCTGACCATGACCTCCCTCTGACCTCTCTTTCTTCCTGGGGTTTCCCTGTCCTACCGGTTGGCCCTTGTCGGCCCTCAGGTGTAATACTTTCGCCGCTTTGGAATATCCTGGGGAGCCACGGGGGCCACGTGGCCCGTGGTGAGCAGCAGTGACCTAGAGCACATGACCTCGAGGTGGCTTCTGTCGGAGAGGAGCCGGGGACTCACGTGGTCTTGAGCAGGTTTGCTCTGAAACTAGCATCATTTCTGCTTACATTTTGTTGGGGAGAGCTCGTGACATGACTTCTTGGAACATGCGGGTGCCAGGAAGTGTAGAATGACAAGTGGAATATTTCTTGAGGATCATTATCTCTATCACAGTCTCGCTCTAGGGATGTGGGTGAAAATGTCAGACGGAGCAAGGTGAAGAATTAGCAAACCTTCTATAGGGCACGGCTCAGAGTCTGATGTTACACGATTAGCAGTGGGGAGGAAAAGTGGAATTCTGTTCAGAGAACCAACTCTGAACTATATAGATTTGAGATGTATCTTTTCTGAGGAGCGATTCACTCCCAACACTGTTCAGGGGTAACTCCTGGCTCTGCATTCAGGAATCACTTCTGGCAGGCTCAGGGGACCAAATGGGATGTTGGGCATCAAACCTGGGTTGTCTGCACACAAGGCAAGCACCCCGTGCGCTGTGCTGTCTCCAGGCCCAAGAGGTGTATCTCTTTGTTGGACACCATCTAAAAACTTTTTTTTTTAATGAGGTAGAGCTTAATAGAATTTCTCCTTGAGTACTGGTGCGATAGTGCAGTGCATAGGGCATTTGCTTTGCACGCTGCCAACCCAAGTTCGATCTCCTGCATCCCATACGGTCCCCCAAGCACCACCAGGAATAATTCCTGAGTGCAGAGCCAGGAGGAACCCCTGAACATCACCGAGTGTGACTCAAAACAAATTTCTCCCTTGAAATTGGAATTACTAAATGAGTAAAAACCTTTTAAGAGAGAAGGGGTACGTGTTAGTTACTTTGCTATTTAAAAATTGTCACTCACTTTTAGAGGCTTAAATCGTGGTCTCAGTACCAAGAGAATTTTGTTCTGAGATATTGAGCATACCGGGCTGGAGCCGAAGTCAGTAGGGCATTATTGGCCTTTGCCTTGCTTGCAGCCAACCCAGATTTGGGCCCTGGCACCCCCTGTTGTGGACCCAGAATGAAAGAAAAAAAGGCTTACTGTTTTTCACATGGTAGGGTGAATGTATTGAAAGTTAAATTAACGGTTAATAAATAACAAGTGATGGCCATGGTGTAGATTTTCTAAGAGGGGTTGACTCATTTAAGAGGTACTTGCTGATTGGTGTATAAAGGATGATCCAGGCCAGAGCAAAGTACGGCGGGTGGGGCACTTGCCTTGAGTTTACCTGGGTTCAGTCCCTGGTGCCCCCCCCCCCCCCAAGTCCCGGAGTGCAGAGCCAGGACTAAGCCTGAATACCGCTAGGTGTGGCCTAAAACACAAAGGATGTGGCAGATTGATAGAATGAAGTCATGAGGGTTTTTGTCTATTTCAAAATCACTTTTAAATGGTTTAAATCACTCTTACAGGTTAGAGTTCTCTTGTTGTGCATTTATAATACAAGTTCTTTCATACACTATACTTATTGCTAGAGAATAAGTGCCTATTTTTATGTAAGGCTTTAAATCTTTCAGACTCCTTTCATGAAGGGGCTTTAAATCTTTCAGGCTCCTTTCATGAAGTTTGTCCTCTGCCCCCTAGTGAGCTGTAGTGTTCTTCCGCTCCCCTTGTCAGTAGCAGAACGAGGCTAGGTAGAGCCAGGTGTGGCTGCCCTCCATTTGTGCTTTCATCTGCAGTGAGTCCTTGTAATAGAATCAGGAAGTTGCAGAAGCTGTGGTAATAATGGCTCCTATTTTTCAAGTATCTGTTTGATGGGCACTGTGCAGCATACACTGAAAATCATCTTTTGCTTTAGGGATGTTCGGAGCACTCCTCGCTTATCCCAATAAAAAAACAGATTTGTCACCCAAAAAATAGGGCATTGTGAACATTTTTACCCCTTGCGGCTGTTAGGAAGATTTCTTGGCCAAAATAATAAAAACATCTTGACCCTCTAGGGCTCATGGTGGGTATGTTGGCGGCCTTTGGAAGTAGTTCTCGCACATGGCAGGCAGGCTGCTTCCCAGCTGGCTGGAGGAGGACGCATCCGTTTGGTTTCCTGGGCACCGCATCCTGACATTTGCGTTGACTTCCTTTTTCTCCTGCTCTGGTTCTAGGGAATGACCATGGATAAAAGTGAGCTTGTACAGAAAGCCAAGCTGGCCGAGCAGGCCGAGCGCTATGATGACATGGCCGCGGCCATGAAGGCGGTCACGGAGCAGGGGCACGAACTCTCCAACGAAGAGAGAAACCTGCTCTCAGTGGCCTACAAGAACGTGGTGGGTGCCCGCCGTTCTTCCTGGCGCGTCATCTCCAGCATTGAGCAGAAGACGGAGAGGAACGAGAAGAAGCAGCAGATGGGCAAGGAGTACCGCGAGAAGATCGAGGCTGAGCTGCAGGACATCTGCAACGATGTGCTGGTGAGAGGCTGGTTTTTCTGCTCGCAGCGGTTTCTGGGTGGTATTAATCCAGTGCACAGACCCATGCTTTCAAGCAGCCCAGGAGAGGAAGGTTTCTGAGGATGCTGGAAAGCGGCACACCATTTGCACCTGGTTTGAAGGATAGGCTGTGATTTTCCTCTTGAATTAAGAAGGTTCCATCAGCATCCCTTCATCTTTTCCTTAGAAATTGAGGCCAGGACCAGAGAGATCGTCTAGGTAAAAGGCACTTGCCTTGCACGTGGCTGACCTGACTTCCATCTCCAGCACCACAGCCGGTCCCCTGAGAACTGCAAGAGAGGCCTGTGAGCCCTGAGCACCCTGGGTGTGCCCCTCCACCCCCGCCCCCAGCAGACACACGCACACACGCACAGGCCAGATAGGTGGCATTATAGAGAGATGCGCCACAAAGAGGCTGTTTTACATATTTTAGTAGGAGTGTCACCTCCTGGACAGGAGATAAGCAGAAAGTTGAGTTGGCTTTCAGCCTCCACACCCTGGACCTGACGGTGTTAAGTTCTGTTTTCTGTCTGATGTTCAAGGACACCTGTCGGTCCAGGCCTGCATCTCCGAGCCAAAGGAGGGGCCGCTCCTTTCCTGTGTTCTCTGGATCTTAGTCGGATGAGGGATTCCTGACCGCCTTCACTCTGACCATAACCAGGAGGCTGGGAGAGGGACGTGTCCTAGAGCAAGTCTCACGATCACACCGTTTCTCCCTCCCATCCTCATCCCACTGGGAACTTTTCTTTTTTCTTCCAGATAGAACCAGGTAACAATGAACAGTGAGGGCAGCTTTGAAAGGAAAAAGAATCCCACTCTTGGGGCCCTGCTTCCTTCCCCAGCTGCCTCTCCAGAATCCTGCCCGTGCCACCTTTCTTTGGAAAGCCGGGTACCTCTGACCCATAAGGAGTTGGACCCTGTTTCTCCGCAGAGAATACTACCGCTGACTCTTGCCCCTTTTTTGCTTGGGTAAAACCCCCTTACAGCTCATCTGCTGCATTGAGCTTTTCTCTGTCAGTGTCCTGGCTAAATTCGTTGCCTGTCGGTAATTTGGGAGTTTGTTCCGATGCACCAATTCCTGAATGTTAGGTTCATCTGGTATTCGGATGAAGTACGGCATGCATTCCAGGGGCAAGAAAGTTCCATAATTCTTGAAATGTAGACGTGCTTTTAAGAGCATCTGAAAGAATGGGAGGGAAAGCATGGTCCTTAACTGCCTCTTAAGCAGTTTTTCAGTTTTTACGCCACATTCTAAAACAGCGCTTTGAAAATATTGCTCTGTATGAGAAGCCTGGACTCCTTCAGAACTGCTTTTGTTGTAAGCATAAATGTTTAAAGGAATATATTATAATAGTTTTAGCTACTTTTGAGTGCTTGCTACATGCCAGGCAACTTGTTAAGCACCTTTTGTACGTTGGCTCAGAATGTGTCCGTTGTCCTCAGAATTGCCCTGGAAGACGGTTATTCCATGTCCCTACTGGGCCCTGGAAACTGAGGCTCAGCTGATCAGGCAATAGTCCGGGGTGAGTCGCAGCTCAGGCAGGAATTCTACCCAGGTCTGGTTGAATCTAAGCTTAATCATGCCAGTTAGCTCTGTTAATAACCATTTTTCCTTCCATAATTAAAAGAATTTTCCTTTTTGATTATGGAATACAACTGTTTATTCTGTTTTGGGGTTGTTGGTTTGTCCCCCCCCCCCCCCACCCCCCAGTAAAGGGCAGAGAAGTATAAAAAAAGAGAAATCAGTTCTAGTTCTGTCACCCAGAGAACCATATTAACATATTGTTAAAAAGGCTTTCCTTTGACCTATTTGTGTATATGTACACGTACATCGTGGTATCTAAACAGGATTCACGTGATACTGATCATCTGCTTTTTTATCCACCCATACTTTTTGTTGTTATCAGTGGAGTTCATATTGTCATTTTTAAGGCCTAACTAGCATTCAGTGATATGGGAATGATTTAATCAGCCCCTTCTGGTTGCTCAGAATTATTTTTAACAGAAGAAAGTAGGCACCTGCTGTTATGACTTACCTTAAGAACGATGGTTAACAACTTTGGATGAAAAAATAAGCTTTCTTGTCATCTTCAGAATTATTTAGAAATAGTAATGTTCCTCAAGTCTCACATACTTTTAGCGTCTTGTACATAATACTTTCAGAATCTTAACAGAATGGAATTTTTTTTTTTAGGAGCTGTTGGACAAATACCTTATTCCCAATGCTACACAACCAGAAAGTAAGGTGTTCTACTTGAAAATGAAAGGCGATTACTTTAGATACCTTTCTGAGGTGGCATCTGGAGACAATAAGCAAAGTAAGTGACTTGGTCGCTGTTGTTTTTAAGAATTGGCTGATCGGAGAGCCAGCCTTCCTTCGGTGTCATTTTAACCCTTTTTCCTTCAGGATGAATAATGTTGCGAATAAAGACGAGCGCTGTGAGAGGACTGGCGCTCAGTGGAGGCCCAAGGGGCAGCCCCATCCCCCAATGGCTCCTGAGAGCACAGCCCCATGGGGGCGCACCCACTGGGGGTAATGCCAGGGATGGGCAGGTTTGTTCTGTCCATTCACCGCCACACCGAGAGTTTTTAAAGATTGGTCTGTGATAAATGAGAGGGTGGGAGTTGACAGAGTGTATCCGGGGGCTAATGTCGGGCATTGAAAGTCTGCTTCAGCAGCAGTGCATTTACAGACAGGTTATTGGGTAGCTTTTTTGGTTGAGTGTTTTTTGCCACACTGGCAATGCGTGGGTGACTCCTGGCTCTCCCTACACTCAGGAATCACTGCTAGCGGTGCTCTGGAACCATGTGGGATGCCAGGAATCGAACCAACCCAGGTTGGCCATGTGCAGGGAGAATGCCCGACCCACTGTACACTCGCTCCAGTCCCACTTTCTGGCTTGATGATTTTTTGGGGGGGGGGGGGGGTGGTCACACCTGGCTATGCACAAGTATTACTCCTGGCTCTGCACTCAGGAATTACCCTGTAGGTGCTCAGGTGGCCATATGGGATGCTGGGGATTGAACCCGCCACAAGGCAAGCGCCTTACCTGCTGTACTATAGCTCTAGCCCCTCAAGTTTCGTTCTTTTCGTGTGTCGTGCCGAATATATGATCCTGACCCTAAATCTTAATTGTCCCTGTTAATTGCTTGGATGACCTGGTGATAATGGGTTTCGTTTCTCCTCTTGCATTTAATATAGTATTTGACGTAAAACATTTAACAAATGCTTATTAATGAAATGGTGAGAGTACAGCCTCATTTGGTAGGTCATTTGTTCCATCCTACTTTGTTAAGCATCATTTTTATAATGAACAGAGGGCATGATATAACCTCAGCGAGAACCCGGCCTTTAACAGTATGTTGTTTTTCTTACAGCCACTGTGTCAAACTCCCAGCAGGCTTACCAGGAAGCTTTTGAAATTAGTAAGAAGGAAATGCAGCCTACACATCCAATTCGACTTGGGTTGGCGCTGAATTTCTCAGTCTTTTACTATGAGATCCTAAACTCCCCGGAAAAGGCTTGCAGCCTGGCGAAAACGGTAAGAAAAACCCTCTGGTTTCTGATCATGGTGAAGTAGGCCTCGTGCTTTTATTACTTCCTAATTACCTTAATATATTTCATTGGAACTTTTTGCTTGTTTTTTTTATTTGGGGGCCACACTGGGCCGTACACAGTTTACTCCTGGTGGGCCTCAGGGATCGTATGGGGTGCTGGGGGTGGAACCAGGGTTACTGTGTGCTTGGCAAGAGCCCTCCCTGATGCCGTCTCCTGAGCCCCAATACTGGGTGCTTTTCAAAGATTTTCTGGGGTAGGAATATTTATTATATTTGTTATTTATGAAGTAAATACAGACCTATTTTACCTTTTCAAGAAACTGGTTTTGTGTGTCATAATTGTGGCATAAGACTCTAGAACTCTGGTGAAGGTAGTTCTTGTCAAGCTTTTTGTTTTGGGCCACACCCAGCAATGCCCAGGGCTTACTCTCCATTGCACTCAGGAATTACTCCTGGCAGTGCTCAGGGGGACCTATAGAATGCTGGAGATCAAACCTGAGTCAGCTGCGTGGAGGGCAGGCGTGCACCCTCCCTGTTCTGACCCTTCCTGTCAGGCTTGGAAGCTTTAGGGCTATTATGTTGCACTGATTTGAGTTTATGACCTTTTTTTTGGGGGGGGGAGGTTGTTTGGGGTCATGCTCAGAGGCGCTCAGGACTTCCTCCTGGCTCTGTGCTCAGGGATAACTCCTGGGGGGCTTGGGGGAACCATATGGGATGCCAGGGATTGAACCCAGGTTTGCCATGTGCGTGGCAAGCGCCCTACCTGCTGTACGGTGCCCTGGCCCCTGAAGTGATCAAAGAAATTAGACTGCTGGATCATCTCCTACTAGCTTTTCCACGAAAATTTGTAGATTTTAAGTTGGGGGGGGTGGGGAGGTGGCACAATGGGTCCTTACTTTTTGGTTGGTAATTTTGACTGTTTGGATCACATCAATGCTCAGAGGTTACTCCTGGCTCTGCACTCAGAAATTACTCCAAGCAGTCCTCAGAGGACAGTATGGAATGCCAGGGTTCAAAACTAAGTCAGCCGTGTGCAGGGCAAACCCCCTTACCCACTGTATTGCCTTTCTGGCCCCTTCTTTAAGTGTCTAAAATGAATTCTCAAAGCTTTGTCAGTCATTTGCATCAGATTTAAGTTTTCACATTGCCCATTGTATTCATATCTTTTAGTTTTGGGTGGAAGAAGACTACTAGAAACATCTTTGGTAACTGAAATATCATCCACCCAATCTCAAAGGGGGTGGAGCATATGCCTTGCATGGGTGACCCAAATGTCCCTCCCAGGAACCACCGGGAGTCATCCCTGGGGCCCTCAGCGCTGCTAGAGAAGAAATCATGAATCTTCAGAAAATGAACTTAATTGGGATAACTGTGTAAATATTGGGTTAATAGGTTAAAACCTGCTGATTTGAAATAGAATAGTTTTTTTTTTTTTAATTTGGGAATTTTGGTCAGATCACTTTTAAGAAATTTTTTTTATGATTTGGTTCCTTCTGTCATCCGTCACTGTATTTTCTCAGAGGTTTGCTTCTTCAGCAGGGAGGGCGTTTGCCTTGCATGCGGCCGACCCGGGTTCAGTTCCCAGCATCCCATTTGGTCCTCAGAGCACCGCCAGGAGTAATTCCTGAGTGCTAAGTCAGGAATAATCCCTGTGCATTGCCAGGTGTTACCCAAAAAGAAAAAGCAAAAAAAAAGACTGGCCTTTTGGGGGGGCTGAAGTGATAGCACAGTGGGGTAGGGTGTTTGCTTTGCATGCGGCCAACCCAGGTTCAATTCCCTGTATCCCATATGGTCCCCTGAGCACTGCCGGGGGAATTGCTGAGTGCAGAGCCAGGAGTAACCCCTGTGCATCGCCGGGTGTGACCCAGAAAAGCAAAAAGAAATCTCAAAGGTTTGCTTCTTGATCTTCAGAATATCCCAAGTAGAGTAGGTGCCAGATTCAAACTTGCCTTCATCACCAGTCGGAATACGACATGGACAGCAACTGCTCAGGGCATTTGTGTCCGGGGAGGGAGGTAGAGGTCTGTACTCTCAGTGTAGAGCCCCTGGTTTCACTTCCATATTTTGTGCTTTTAAACATGTATTACATCTTTGCTGACAACTGTGAGTATGACCTTGGTACCCCCCACCCAGATCCTGTATAGGAAGAGGCAGTACTTATTTGCACCGTGCATTCTTTGTTTCAGGCATTTGATGAAGCAATTGCTGAGCTGGATACACTGAATGAAGAATCTTACAAAGACAGCACTCTGATCATGCAGTTGCTTAGGGACAATCTCACTGTAAGTACAGCGGATGGGGTCACTGTTTGGGGAGGGCTTACGGTTCTTGGCAGTGCACTGTTGACCAGTAGTGACTCGTAGCCTGTGAGTATAGTAAAATTGGTTTAGGAGTGACCTAAATATCTTTGCAGTCATCTCTGCAGTAGGTCCAGGAAAATTGTCAACGTTTGAGAGAAAACACAATGATACAGCTCCCCCCCCCCCCCCCCCATCCTACCTCTGAATATAGTTTAGCTTGTTTTGATTATGCCTTTTGTTTTTCTCTTGCAGCTGTGGACGTCGGAAAACCAGGGAGATGAAGGAGATGCTGGGGAGGGAGAGAACTAATGCCTGCCGTGCTTCGTGATCTGTTCACTGTCACTCTGTACCCTCCACATATATCCCTTTGTGCGATATAAAAACAAAAAAATCGTACATCGACTTTCGATTTTTCACAGCCTCAGCCTAGCAAAAATGGTTCATGGGATGAACAGCTGGTATTCGTATCTAAATCTCAGATTGGTCACATAAATGCCACGGCATTCTGAAGTTTTGATTTTGATTAACATTGACAGGATTACTGTGTGTTTAATTTTCAAAAACTGAACACTGTGATTATGGGGTTTTGTAACTTAGCAGAACTCTTACTGGTAGAAAAAAAAACAGACCTGAATGATGTGTAACTTTTTGGAAAGTGTAATCTGATCTCAAGAGTCACTGAAGTACAGTTCCATTGTAAAGTTGTACAGAAAGTTATAGAGATTATATTGTGACGCTGGGACTTGGCGTGAGACACCTGTCATCCATGGCATTCAGGTTTCCTGGTGATTCACAGTGATTCTGCCTGTGGCTCAGGCCTTAGACACACTTGGGCTGTTGCTGCTCAAATGTTCCTAACTGCAGATGTCTGCAGTCTCTTACGGAGACTCGAAGGCCAAAATCGAAATTCCTTGTGGCAGATACTGAGCTCTTGACATCCTGAAGAGGTCCAGTGCTCTAACCGCCTAAGTCCCCTTTTCCTCCAGCAATATGTCACCGATTTGCTTCAGTGGTGGAATCTGTTTTCCTTGTAACCACAAGCTTAAGAAAGTCGTGTCTCTCATGACTGGCCTTATCTGTCTCCTGGAAAACACCTACAAGACCAGTGTTGTGCAGAGCCTGCCTTCCACCCAAGGAGGAGGAGGACGCCATCTCGGCTTCCTCCAGCTCGGGGCTTGAAATTTTTGAGATCAAAACATTGGCTCCTGCTGCCCTTTCTTTCACGGTTAGCAGCTTTGATTTCCTCTTCCCTAATCTTTACCTTTCTGTTCTCCTGCTTTTGGACTTTTGGGATTTTTTTGTTTGTTTGTTGGAATCCTACTTTTATTTGCTCGTTGTTTGATACTGCCCGGGCAGGGAGGGGGACCTGGAGGGGTGAGAGACACCTGAGCACTTTTGGTGAGCAGGTCCTTCCGGAGACATGGGAGGAACTTCCGGCTCCCGTCTGCCCGCCCCCCACCCCCCGTCCCCGCATTCCATCTTCCTCCGGTTCTCAGCACAGTGGTTGCTCCACAGTCAGACCGAGATTTGAATCATCGAAGTATTTGAAGTAGCCGTGATTTCTCCCTACATTGCAGCCAGCCCCGATTACGCTTGTTAGTACCTGTCACCAGATCTCCCAAGTCTCCTCACCCAGCCAGGTTCACAGACAAGTTTCAACAAGACTCTTAGCACAGGGAAGTCGCGTGAACACTGCAACGGGGAGAATCCAGACGAGCCAGGCCTACCAGTCTCACAGTGCTCCCTACCCCCCTCAACATTCCACCTAGCTGTAGTGTCCATCTGTTTGTCCATCTGCTGAAATGAGAAAAAAAAAAATTCATGCACTGATTTTAAACCAAAAAAAAAAAACCACAAAAAAAAAAAATCCCTTCCCTTTCTAGCTGAACAAAAACGTGCAGTTAATACTTGGCGCTTGAAAATGCAGTAGTGAGTGTGGAACGAGCCTGTCTGTATATCTGGTCGCTCTTTCTTGCTTTGTTTTTTTCCTTACCAGTGTTCTGCCTCACGTTTGCTTCTGTGGTGGTCATATTGCCTAGCAAGCACACCCGTGGTTGTGAAAATAGTATAGAAAAAAAGAAAAATCCCCGGTTATTGATGTACTAGATTTGTGTGTGTCTTTTAAACAGTTCTAGTTTCCACCTTACACGGAATAATCAGGAAAAGTGTAAAAACTCAAAAGTAAAATAAAAAATTTTATCAGTTAGTTGCCTGTGAATTGATGCGTGGCACCATCTTCACCATTGGTTGAACTAGTGTATGGTGGGAAGGCATTGTGTGTGTGTGTGTGGGGGGGGGGGATCACCATTGGTTGAACTAGTGTATGGTGGGAAGGCATAGTGTGTGTGTGTGTGTGTGTGTGTTGGGGATCACCAGGGTCAGCTGAATGCCTGACAAGCACCTTAACTATTGAGCCCTAGTTAGGTATTCTAATTGACACTTTAAAGGGGAAAAAAAAAAAGGCAACTGCTTTATTTCACCTAGAGCTAGAGTCAAGGTGTGAAGGGAAGGAAATTGCCAGTAATTAACACAAAGCTGCTTTCCACCTCCTGCCTGCCACCTTTCCACCTTCCCAGGCCCTCTTTGGCTTGAAAGATTGCGGACGGGTGGTTATTGAGCACCGCGTCCAAGTTGTACCACCACTCACCTTTTTTTTTTGTCGCCGGCCAGACGCTAGCTGGGAGCTCTGGGCCCCGCCGCAGACCCCCGGCAGCGGCTCACTAATGTCCTGCTCCAGGACTTGGACTGGGGTTGGTCTTCAGTGTCCTCTGCCACGCGTGGCTTGAAGCTGTGCGGGCACCCAGGGACGGGGGCCTTGCCGCCCAGCTCGGGGTCTCTTGGTGAGCCTTCTTGGTAGCGGCGGGGCCCGGCCAGAGGACGGGAACGGGCTCACGCCACTGGAAGGCACGGTGCCAAGGACGCGCGCGCTCGGCCTGCACCGGAGCCCTGGGCCGCCCCCAAAGCTGCTTCCTCGGTCCGTCGGGAAGGGCAGGGGGCTGGCTCGGGGCGGTCTCGACGAGGAAAAGCGCCCGCACCGGCTCCCTGCGGGGCGGGGACACGCAGCTGCGGCCCCAGGTGCGGCGGGGCCGGCGATTGGGGCGCGGTCAAGTGCGCGCCGGGCGCGCCGGGCGCCCGCGAGGAGAGCGCGCCGCATCTGTGCCATGAGCGCCCGCGGCCCCGGCTACCCGCTCGCCTCGCTCTACGTGGGCGACCTGCACCCCGACGTGACCGAGTCCATGCTCTACGAGAGGTTCTCGCCCGCCGGCCCCATCCTGTCCATCCGCGTGTGCCGCGACGTGGCCACGCGCCGCTCGCTGGGCTACGCTTACATCAACTTCCAGCAGCCGGCGGATGGTGAGCCCGGGAAGGGACACCGGCCGGCAGGGCCCGACGCCGCGTGCCTCGGTGCCAAGGCAGTTCTGAGCCTCCCTTGTCCGACCCCAGGGGACTGGTGCCTGCCTCCCCGGGGGGAGGCAGAAGAGGGGAAGGAAAAACTCAAAGCACCTAGGGAGGAAGAGCTGGACCCATCCAGGTGGTACCTGGGGAGCCCCGGAGAGCCCCGTCCTGCTCCCGCGCCGGCGTAGTAGGAGGTCGGCGCCGGGTGCCCCCATGCCTGGGACCCCTGGAAAGTCGCCTCCAGGCCGGGGCTCCCCAGCCGGGTGCTCAGCACAGAGCGGGCGCGGTGAGGCTTACCCCGTGGGTCTGGCGAGATGGGGGAGGGAGGAGGACCACTGGAGGTGGCTAGACCCCTACCACCAGGGAGCCCGGGCGCAGTCTAGCTCCATTACTACTTGGTAAGTGCTTAGAGGATGGTTAAGTAATCATTGGTTGTTTAGGCCCAGTTAGCAGGAAACAACCAAAAGGGGGAAAGAAAAGCTCCCCTCAGCATCCCCCCAAGAACTCCTGCAAAAGGATGCTATAGTGATGCTCTAGTCTCTGGCTCCCCCTGGCGATGGTGCCCTCAGTCCCCGGGGCTCTGCAGGCTGGGGCTGCCAGTTTCCCAGCTGCCAGGGGAGCCTCCCTGCTTCTTGTCCTCACTGGGTCTCTGCCAGCTCCCTTCACCCCCGGATGTATGTTCCAGACTTGGGGAAACTGAGCTTCAGAGGGAGGTTGGTCCAGGTTGACCCTGGGTGTTCACAGCAGCAGGAGTGAGTGAGGGAATGTAAAGTCTGAGTTCTTGCACCTGGCTGGCACCCCTCGGTTCTCCCTGGCACCCCTCCATGGCTGTCTGACCACCTCCCCGCGGGCGGTACCCTCTCCATTTGTTGGGCGTGGGAAGGGGACGGGTATCATTGCCCCACTTGATGAAGACGGGGGCTCCGAGAGGTGCTGTGGGCGGCCCCCAAAGCTGCTCGACTTGGCGCGGAATCTCGCTCTGAGGCTCAGCTCCACGGGCATTAATTCCTTTACACAGATGCCACCCTTACCCGATGGACTGTCTGTGGACTGGCGAGATCCCAGACCTGGCTCTGCCACTGATTTTCCCTCCTTCTGAGCCTCAGATTTCCCTTCTGTAAAATGGAGACAGAAATTCTGACTCCGTGTCTGCTGGCGGGGGGTGGTTAGAGTGAGATCTCTACAGGAAGACAAAACGTGGGTTTTTCTGTTTGTTTTTTGAGCCAAGGTCAGCAGTGCTCAGGGCTTCCTCCTGACTCTGTGCTCAGGAATCCCTCCTGGAAGGCTCGGGGGGGGGAGGGGGGGCGGGAACTGTATGGGATGCCGGGGATCAAACCTGGGGTGGCCGTGTGCAAGGCAAGCACCCTCCCACTGCTCTCTCTCTCCAGCTCCCATCCTGCCAATCCCTCCATCCCTCCTGAGTCTTCAGCCTCTTCCTGAGACCCACTTCAGAGTTGTTTTTTGTTTGTGTTGTTAGTTCTTTCTCTTCTCCCTTACCTTAGGGCTCAGGAGAGAAAGAAGCCCCCCTTAATATGTCTCATTCTCCCCTCCCCCCGTCCCAGCGGAGCGGGCTCTGGACACCATGAACTTTGAGGTGATCCGAGGCCAGCCCATCCGCATCATGTGGTCCCAGCGAGACCCGGGACTCCGCAAGTCGGGCGTGGGCAACATCTTCATCAAGAACCTGGAGGAGTCCATCGACAACAAGGCTCTGTACGACACCTTCTCGACCTTTGGGAACATCCTCTCCTGCAAGGTGGGTGTGGGGTGTGGCAGGGATTATGGGGCAAGGGGCAGAGGGGTGGCAGGCAGCCCTGTGGTTGACAGTCTCCGGAGTGCGCTCTCTCTCTCTCTCTCTCTCTCTCTCTCTCTCTCTCTCTCTCTCTCTCTCTTTGTCTTTTTGGGTGACACCTGGCGATGCTCAGGAATTACTCCTGGCTCTGCACTCAGGAATTACTCCCGGTACTTGGGGGACCATATGGGATGCTGGGAATTAACCCGCATTGGCCTCGTACAAAGTAAATGCCCTACCCGCTGTGCTGTCATCGCTCCAGCCCTCCAGAGTTCTTTTAAATGAGTCAGATCCAGCTCATACTTAAATGACGGTTCCTTTAGTTTCTGTGTCACGCCTGTGCCCGTCACCTCTCAGCTCTGGCGCCATCTACAGCGTAGTGGTGGCCATCCACAGCTTTGCGTTTTCCTCCTAGTTCTGCAGTAGGCAGTGCACTGGAGTCCAGCTGGACAGTTCCTCTGGCTTGGCTGAGCTCCTTCCTCTGCTTGCTGAGTGCTGGGGGCGGGGGGTGGGGTGGCGGGCTCACTCTTCTCACCAGCTGCCTCTGCATTTCCTGGAGCAGATCCCGAGATTTGAGATGCTAGTACAGGTGGGAGGGGGCAGGAAGGTCGCCAAGGGCCCTAGCGGCCTTCTGTGGCTGCACCTGGAGTCTGCGCGATTTCCCTTTTACAAGAATGGGAGTTCCGGAAGGAGTCTGGGCTTGTTCTTGGTCCCTGTCGCCCCAGGACCTGAAGCGCCGTGTGAATTTAGCATCCAGTGGGTGGTTAGTGCCCTGGGAGGGCTCTGGTCATCCAGCCCCTGTGCCTGAGGCTCCCAAGGAACAGTTGGTCAGTTGGTCCTGAGCAAAGGATTTCAATCTGGGTGTTGTGCCCCAGGTTTTTTGAAGAAGGCATTTAGTTCTCCTCCTGGGCAGGGTCAGATAGTGATGGCCCCCCCTGTTTCGTTTTTTTTTTTTTTTTGCTTTCTGGGTCACACCTGGCAGTGCTCAGGGGTTACTCCTGGCTCTGCACTCAGGAATTACTCCTCGCGATGCTTGGGGGCCATATGGGATGCCAGGGATCAAACCCGGGTCGGCTACATACAAGGCAAATGCCCTCCCCGTTGTACTATCGCTCCAACCCCTGGTTTCTTCTCTTTTTAATTTTGGTTCTGGGACCACACCTGGAAGTGCTCAGAGGTTACTCCGGACTCTGCACTCAGGGGTCACTCCTAGAGGGGTTTGAGACCCATGCGGGATGCCGGGAATTGAACCTTGGTCAGCGGCATGCAAGGCAAACGCCCCACTTGCTGTGCTATCTCTTGCCCCTGTGGGTCCTTCTTTACATGCCACCTATGTGGGACCTTGTCCTCCCTGTCACACACTTCCTGGTGAGGGGGCAGAGCCTGAGATTCAGGGGTGCAGGCAGGCATGAAGAGGTGCAGCTGCTGCTGGGTGCAGTCTCCGTGATGGTCTCTGACGGGGCCCCGGCCCTGCCTCTTGTGCTTCTTGACAGTGTGACCTTGCACCCTGAGCTCAACCTCATCATCCTCTAGTTTCCTCGAAGAGGTCTGGCCCTGTTGTGCACTCACCGGTGTGATCTTCTCACCTGGGAAGGGAGAGTATGTGGCATTCTGTTAAGCCATCAGCAACCCAGTTTGACCTCATTTCAGTCATTTGTTTCTGTTTTCCCCAGTGGGGCAGCTGGATCTCAGACAGGTGTAGAAGTACTTAAGGCAGGGCTGACTCTGTTTAATCCTGGGCACCACATATGGTCCTCGTCCTCTGAGCACTGCCAGGATAAAGCCATGAGCACTGCCAGAAATTATCCCTGAGCACCGAGCCAGGAGTAAGCCCTGAGCATTGCTAGGTGTAGGAAGGAACGAAGGATTTCTCTAGGGGTTGATTGGGAAGATCACTCAAGTGGTGAAGCAGGCTCCTAGTATGTGCCAGGCCCTGGGTTTGACCCCGGCATTGTGCTTGTTCCTTGAGCACTGCTGGGTGTGGCTTGAGCAACCAACTATCACACCTGCACCTAGGGACCGAGCATCACCGAGAGTGACCCCCATGTCCCTGAGCTCTGCCGGGATGTCTGCTATTAAAAAATCTTCCTGTAGGGACCCAAGAGATAGGACAGCACACTATAGGGTGCTTGCCTTGCATGTGGCTGGCCTGAGTTCAGTCCCCGGCCCCGTAAATGGTCTCCCAAGCCCTGCCAGGCGGGACCCCTGAGCACAGAGCCAGGAGGGATTTCTGAGCGCCACCAGGTGTGGCCCCAATACAAAATAAATCTTCCTGGAAGGAGTTCCAAGTGCAAATACAACATACATGTGTGCAACTCTTTTTTATTTATTTATTTTTTTTATTGAATCACTGTGGGAAAAGTTACAAAGCTTTCAGGTTTAAGTCTCGGTCATGCAAATATCAAACACATTTCCCTTTACCAATACTTATTTTTCACCATGAAGAACCCCAATAACCCCCCCGCCCCCCCGGCCAACCGTCCCAATGCCTGTGAGGCAGATGAATTCTAGTTAACTCTCTATCTACTTTGATTAGATTCATTGTTTCGACAAAAGATGCACCATTATTAGTTAGAGTTTACACCCCCAAAATCAGACATGCTGAAAAGGCATTGTGAAATAATTTGTTTTCTACAGCTGGTCACAAGACTCAAATGATTTTAGATTTCTGGTATTTTACTTATTAAGCCTGGAAGTATTTCTGCTGAGAGTCAAATAATTATGAGATTGGTTTCTGTGCTCTGGAGCCATGGCTGTGCCGGAGAGCCGCTCGTGGGGGGCAACTCGTGACCTCGGTAGGGCGTGAAGGACAAGCCGGGAACGCCCCCCTTCCCATGAGGTTTCAATCACCCCATCACGACTGGCTCATACCTGGCTTTCTATAAAGCTCCGAAGCGGCTTGTGCAACTCTTGAAAGGTGCTGGGTGCCAAGGACTGACAGATGTGTGAGAAAGGAGAGGAAGGTGGGGTGGGTAAAATAAGGATTTGGAAGCTGGTTCCATCTCTAAGGGGAAAAGATGATCACTGTTAAGTTTTGTGAGAAGCTTCTCAGAACCAGCAGAAGATGGATGGTGGGTGGGGGTGAAGAGAGAGGGGTGTGTGTGTGTGTGTGTGTGTGTGTGTGTGTGTGTGTGTGTGTGTTGGGCCGGGTCGGGGTTGGAAGGGGAGGAAGGGTGGTATTGGCAGTCCCGCTGAGCTGAGCTGGGTAGTCACTACGGGGATGGCGGCACTGGGGTCCCTTGGAATGATGCTGGTGATCCTAGTACAGGTTCAGCCCAGAGAATGGACGCAAGTGAAGGTCTTTCCTTCCTCAAGCTCTGCCCTAATGAGGCAGACGGCATATGGATCATGCATCTAGGTCATTTGTAGGCTTCTGAGAAATCAAAAGAAGCCTGGGTGTGCTTGCCTGGCACAACACTCACCCTGGTTTGGTCCCCCAAACCCTGCCAGTAGTGATTCCTGACTGCAGAGCAGAAGTCAGCCCTGAGCACTGAGCACGGCAGCACCCCCAAACCAAAATAAGTTAACTGAAACAAGGTATGGGTTGGAAGAGATTTAATCACACAGGGAGGAATCTAGTCAAAAAGAAGATTCCGTTCTTTGGTCCTCTTGTTTGCCAAAGGTAATAATGTTCAAATTTGTGAGGCCTATTCTCAGAAAGTTCCTGGGTATAGATGCCAACTCTGTCCCATTTGGACGTTTTTTTCTTGATTTTTTTCTTTTCCACTTAATACACTTTATTCTATATCTGTAAGAATATAGAATATCACTGCACTGTGGCACTGTTCTCCCATTGTTCATCGGGCCCAGTAACATTGTGAGACTTCTTGTTACTGTGTTTGGCATATCGAATACATCATAGGTAGCTTGCCAGGTTTTGCTGTGCAGGCAAGATACTATAGGTAGCTTGGCGGGCTCTCCGAGAGGGGCGAAGGAATTGAACTCAGGTTGGCCGGGTTGGCCATGTGCAAGGCAAACACCCTACCCACTATGCTATTGCTTCAGCCCTATCTTTATTGTAATTATAAGATATAACATATTGTATAATATATATTATACTATACTATTTTATGGGCTGGAGTAATAGCACAGTGGTAGGGCATTTGCCTTGCATGCAGCCAACATGGCTGACCCGAGTTCGATTCCTCCACCCCTCTCGGAGAGCCTGGCAAGCTACCGAGAGTATCTCACCCGCACGGCAGAGCCTGGCAAGCTCCCCGTGACATATTCGATAAGCCAAACACAGTAACAACAAAGTCTCCAATGGAGACGTTACTGGGCCCGCTCGAGCAAATCGATGAACAACGGGAGGACAGATGGACAGACAGATGGATACTATTTTATGTTAAATTATTTATATTTATTGAATTTAATTAGTTAAATTCTAGCACTGTAGCACTGTTCTCCCGTTGTTCACCAATTTGCTTGAGCGGGCCCAATAACATCTTCATTGTGAGACTTGTTACTGCTTTTGGCATATTGAATACATCATGGGTAGCTTGCCAGGCTTTGCCGTGCAGGCGAGGTACTCTCAGTAGCTTGCCGGGCTCTCCAAGAGGGATGGAGGAATCGAACCTGGCTCAGCTGGGCTGGCCACATGCAAGGCAAACACCCTACTGCTGCGCTCCAGCCCAGTTAAATTATATTTAATTAATTAAGCTCTTTTATAATATGCTATATATATATTATATTGAACACTATAAGATATATCTTCGAAATAGAACATGTGTAGGAGATATGCCAGATTGTCAGATATGTAATAATGCTTTTGGCAGTGCTGGGAAATGAAACCTCACGCATACAAAGCAAATATATACTGAGCCACATCCCGGGCCCCCGAGCTCTCACTGTCGCCGTATAATCTGCTGGGTTCTGACCCCGGGCCGGAGGCTGCTCTTTGTGGGCTTTATCGAGCTCATCCCGTGTTGGCTGCCTGGGCATCCTTCTGGTTTTTGGCTGATGCAGAAATGGGGGTTTGGATTAGATCCTGAGGCTGCTGAGCTGTAAGAAAAAGTGAATCATGAACAACTTCATAACTGTGTATCTCACGGTGATTCAGTCGAAAAGAGGGGAACAAAAAAGCCCACAGTTCCTGCAACTCAGATAAGAGCTGGAGAGTGTCACGCTGAGCGAAAATGAGTCACATTCGAAGAACAAGTGCTTTAGAAGAACAAGGACCGAATGTTCTCTCCGCAGAACAGGAGGAGAAGGAAACAGGAGAGCAGCACGGGAGATCAGACCCCAGACTCGGCCAAGAGGGTTGAGCCTGCTGGGAGTAGAAGGCCACAGTAGTCAGGGGACATGGTAGCCCTAGTGTGTGTGTGTGGGGGGGGGGCGGCGTGTGCAGTAGCAACATTGTATTTCTGAGTCATCAACACTGCTCCTGTTGTGCTTCAGTTCTGAAGAGGAAGCTGGTCCTTGATCATCGCCTTAGGGGCCAGATCATTAAATGTTTTGGTGGTCTTTCCTGTTTTTCTTTTCCCCTCAAAATAATTAGGTAATTGATTGTGTGTGTGTGTGTGTGTGTGTGTGTTTTAATGTAGGAAAACTGCTATTCAACCACTGTTTAAGCTGACTAAAACGGGCATGAAATCCATATTTTTATTTATTTTTTTATTTGCTTTTTGGTTCACATCCGGTGATGCACAGGGGTTACTCCTGGCTCTGCACTCAGGAATTAACATCTGGCGGGTGCCTGGGGGACCATATGGGATGCTGGGAATTGAATCCAGGTTGGCCGCATGCAAGGCAGATACCCTCCCTGCTGTGCTATCACCCCAGCCCCTCATATTACTTTTTAAAAAAATTTTTAATTGAATATCTATGAGATGGCCCATTACGAAGCTGTTCAGAATTGGGTTTCAGTCATACAATGATCCAACACCCATCCCTCCACCAGTGCACATTTCCCACCACCAATGTCCTTCACTTCTCTCTCACCATCCCCCCAACACCCCCTACCCCCAGCTTGCCATTACAGCAGGCACTTTTCTTCCTTCTCCCTCTCTCTCCTCTTCCTTTTGTGCATTATGGTTTGCAACACAGGTACTAAGAGGTCGTTGTGTTTGCTCAGAGCATTCAGTGTTTTTATCAGGGAGCTCAGGCTAGAGTAGCTTTGTAACTGGGTGGCAGCTTTGGGATATGGACGTGGTTGCCCAGGCTTCCAAAAGTACAGGGGAGTGGGGGAAGGTAACTCATCCCGACCCAGAGAGAGTCTGGAGATTTCAGTCACAAAACCCGCATCCCTGAATTTTCAGGCTGGAGCGATAGATAGCACAGAGGGTAGGGCGTTTGCCTAGCATGCAGTCAACCAGGCTACCCGGGTTTGATTTCTCTGCCCCTCTCGGAGAGTCCGGCAAGCTATCTTTGCAAGTATCTCACCCACTTGCAAAGCCTGGCAAGCTATGTGAATACCTGTGATGTATTCTATATGCCAAACACAGTAACAACAAGTCTCACAATGGAGACATTACTGAGCTCGCTCCATGAGCAACGGGGGAGGACAGTGCTACAGTGTTACAGATATCTCCCTGAGACAATGGAGTCTGGTCAGGGTCCCAGCAACTATTTTGGGTTGTGGGAGCAAGAGGCTGCAGGCTCCCCCTCCTGTGTGATCTTCAGAAAATGGGTTGCCTCCTGGGAAATGGGCTGTGGTGGGACATCAGTCCTTCCCACACACAGGTGGCCTTTGTTCCCTTCTCTGGCTTTCCTATGGGAGCCTCTGGGGTAGTCTCCAGCATTCTTTCCCTGTGGCCCAGGTGGTGAGTGATGAACACGGCTCTCGTGGCTTTGGCTTTGTCCACTTTGAGACCCAGGAGGCGGCCCAGCATGCCATCCGCACCATGAACGGGATGCTCCTGAATGACCGCAAAGTGTGAGTGACGGCCCGGTGGCCCTGGAGCTGTGCCCCCCCCCGGGGGAGGGGGTGCTATCTTCAGGTCAAATGGGGCTTCAGAGGCACATTCGAGGATGGGGTGTGGCCCTAGGGAGGGCTGGCATGAATGTTCTGATGTCCCCTCCTTGTGGCTGGTTTCTGGGGGAACCCATGATGTCACTGCTTTCTGTCCACTTGAGCTTCGTTCTTTGAAAAAAATTTTTTTCCTGAGTGCATGAGCCAGGAGTAACCCCTGTGCATCGCCAGATGTGGCCCAAAAACCAAAATAATAATAATAATAATAATAATAATAATAATAATAATAAAATAAATAGGGGCTGGAGTGATAGCACAGTGGATAGGGCTTTTTTCTTGCATGCAACCAACCTGGGTTCGATTTCCAGCATCCCTATGGTCTCCCTGAGTACTGCCAAGAGTAATTCCTGAGTAACCCCCGTGCATCGCCAGGTGTGACCCAAAAAGCAAATTAATAATAATAATAATGAATAAATAAAAAATTTGGGGAGGGTGAGCCACACCTGACTTGCTCAGGGCTCACTCCTAGCTCTATGCTCAGGGATCACGCCTGGCAGGACTCGGGAGACCATATGTGGTGCTAGGGATCAAACCCCAGCCGTCTGCGCGCAAGGCAGGCACCCTCCCCACTGTCCTGCCACTTGTTCTGCCCTTGAGCTTTGTTCTCGAAACCCCTTTCTTCTGCTGTTCAAAGGCAAGAACAGGCCTGTCCCTGGCCTTGCAGGTGTGCCAGCTCCCAGCCCGGGGTTGGCCCTATCCCCACTGCAGAGAGGGGAGAAGCAAGAAGCTGATGGTGAGAATCAGTTTCTGGGGCTCCTGATTCTGCCCCTCTACTGGCCGGCCCCTGCCGTGCTGGGAGGGAGCAGCTGTGAGTTGGGGATGCACTGCTGAGAGGCCGTTTGTTCCGGCTTCTCAGAGGAAGCTTCGTGCTGGGAAGCAAACCCAGGGCGCCCACGTGCCGAGCTGGAGCTGCAGCCCTTTGAGGCATCTCCCTGGCCCTGTGGCTTTTTTTTTTTTTTTTGCTTTTAGGGTCAGACCCAGGGATGCAAAGTGTAAGGGGTTACTCCTGGCTCTGGACTCAGGAATTACTCTTGGTGGTACTTGGGGGAGCATATGGGATGCTGGGAATTGAACCAAGGTCATCTGCATGCAAGGCAAATGCCCTATCCACTGTGCTATTGCTCCAGTCCCCGCTTTTTTTCCCCCTTTTTGGGTCACACCCAGCAATGCTCAGGGGTACTCCTGGCTCTACACTCAGAAATTACTCCTGATCATGCTCGGGGGACCATATGAGATGCTGGGATTCTGGGGATCAAACCTGGGTCTGCCTCTTGCAAGAGAAAAGACCGTACTATCACTCTGGCCCCTTTCTTTTTTTCTTTGTTTCTTTGTTCCTTCCTTCCTTCTTCCTTCCTTCCTTCTTCCTTCCTTCCTTCTTCCTTCCTTCCTCCTTCCTTCCTTCCTTCCTTCCTTCCTTCCTTCCTTCCTTTTTATATGCTTTTTTTGGTCTCTCTTTTTTTTTTGGAGTACTGCTATTTATTCATCCACTGATTAGCTGATTGATGGTCTCTTTTCTTTTCCTTTTTTCCTTTCATTTTCTTTTTCTTTCCTTCTCTTTTGTTTTTGGGCCATGCCTTGTGATGCTCAGGGCTTACTTCCGGCTGTGCACTCAGGAATCACTCCTAATCACTCCTGGCAGTGCTCAGAGGACCATATGTGATGTCGGGGATGGAACCACGTCAGCCATGTACAAGACCCAGAATCACAACTTTTTTTTTTTTTTTGCTTTTTGGGTCACACCCAGTGATGCTCAGGGGTTACTCCTGGCTCTGAACTCAGGAATTAACTCCTGGCAGTGCTCAGGGGACCATATGGGATGCTGGGAATCAAACCCTGGTTGGCTGCATGCAAGGGAAATGCCCTACCCACTGTACTATCGCTCCAGCCCCAGAATCACAACTTTTAAGTGAATCCGTGTTTAGTGATTTCAATCCATCACCGCACTGGTGAGCTGTGCCTTGTCTGTCCCCAGTGCACCTAGCATGTGTTGCATTAATAAGCAACTTCTGTCATGTGAGTTTATCTCCACTTTTGCAAGAAAGCACAGAGAGGTAAAGTAACTGGCTTGGGGCCACACAACTCGGTAGCTGCTGAGCAAGGACTCCAGCCTGGGCCTGTGTGACCCCTCTCTCTCCCCTCTGAGTTCATGCCTTTGTCTCCTGGGCCCTCTGCTGCCTGGCTTTGCTGGGAATCCTGCAAGGAACCTGTCACCAGAAACTCTCATCCTATTTATTTGGAGGCTTTTGGCCCACGTCCCGCTATACTCAGGGGCTCCTCCCAGCTCTGTGCTCAGGGGTCTCTCCTGGAGGTGCTTGGAGGGGCCACACAGTGCCTGGGGCGGAGCTAGGCCTTTCTGCCTGGGTGCCATCTCTCGCCCTGAGGATCTCTGTGTTGGAACAGACTGAGTGGGCAGTGGGGCTGGACTCCATCTGCAGAGTGCCCTCTGCCCCTTCTGTTGGAGGACGGAGGCAGGTGGCCCCGGGGAGGGGGTCTTGGGGAACTGGGCCTGGGTGCGGGCTGGTGGCAGTGGACCAGCAGAGGCCTTACCCTTCGGCACATCCACAGCTTTGTGGGCCAGTTCAAGTCCCGGCGGGAGCGGGAAGCGGAGATGGGCACCCAGGCCCTGGAGTTCACCAACATCTACGTGAAGAACCTCCACCCGGACGTGGACGAGCAGGGCCTGCAGGAACTCTTCTCTGCGTTTGGTGGGCGTGCTCTCCAGGAGGCGGCCGACTTAGCTGCTGCGGGCCCAGGGTGGGAGAGGAGGGGCCCTCCGGGTGCTCACGAACTGCCCTTTGACCCGGAGGTTCTTCCCAGGGAAGACGCTGAGTGTGAAGGTGATGAGGGACAGCAGTGGCCACTCCCGGCGCTTTGGCTTTGTCAACTTCGAGAAGCACGAGGAGGCTCAAAAGGTAGGCGGCTCCCTATGCCCTCTTCTTTTTTTTTTCTTTTTGGGTCACATCCAGGGATGCGCAGGGGTTACTCCTGGCTCATGCACTCAGGAATTACTTCTGTGGTGCTCAGGGGACCATATGGGATGCTGGGAATCGAACCCAGGTTGGCCGCATGGAAGGCAAATGCCCTACCTGCAGTGCTATTGCTCCAGCCCCTCCCCATGCCCTCTTGCCTGGAGGAGGTGCCAGCCCGGGGCTGGGAAGGAGGGATTTCAGGAGCAGGGTGCTCCAGCTGCTGTGGTGAGGGCAGAGACTGGTTCCCGACTCTGGTCACGTAGGAGGGCGATGGAGCCCAAGAGCCAAGTTATTCTTTGCTTGGGCTACTGCAAAGGCTGCTTCCTCAAACACACTTCACTTAGGGCCAGAAAGATTGCACAGTGGGTAGAGCACTAGCCTTGCAGGCACAGCCTGTCAGGGCTTGATCCCTGGCTTCCCATATGGTCCCCTGTGCACCGCCAGGAGTGACTCCTGAGTGCAGAGCCAGGAGTAACCCTTGAGTACCACCAGGGCTGGCCCCCAAATGAAACAAAAACACTTCTATTCTCTCTCTCTCTTTTTCCCTCCCTCATTCTCTCCCTCTCCCTTTTTGGTTTTTGGGCTACACTCAGCAGTGCTCAGGGCTTATTCATGGATCTGCATTCAGGGATCACTCCTGTGGGTGCCCAGGATTGAACCTGGGTCTGCCGCACGCAAGGTCAACGCCTCCCCACTGTGTCACCTCTCCATTCACTGTGTCTCAGTGTTGACCAATAGACATATGACTGGGATACAGGTCCATGTCCACACTTCTATTCTTTTGGGTGTTTTGGGTCATCCCCAGCAGTCCTTGGTGGCTATTCCTGGCTCGGTGGTTGGAGGACTCCTGGCAGTGGTCAGGGGACTATGCAGTGCGAAGGATTAAATCTAGGTCTCTCCAACAAGCAAAGCCTACACTCCATCCCTCCTCAGAGACAACTCCTTGCCGCCTCACCCCTCCCCCTGCAAACAGTACCTTTTTCTTTTCTTCAAAAAAAATTACTTTTTTGGATTTTGGTTCACACCTGGTATTGCTCAGTGGGTGCTTCCAACTCAAAGCTCAGGGATTGCTCTCGGAGGTGCTTGGGTGGGTGGTGGGTGGAACTATTGGGTGCTGGGGATTGAATCTGGACTTCTGACTTGGCTAAGGATGTGCTCAATTCCTTGCCCCAAACAATGCAATTTAATTTATTTCTTAATTTTTATTTTTGGGTTTTGGGGGCCATACCTGGCGATGTTCAGGGGTGACTCCTGGCTCTGCACTCAGGAATTACTCTTGGTGGAGTTTGGGAATCATATGAGATGCCAGGGATGGAACCTGCTTCAGCCATGGGCAAGGCAAAAATGCTACCTGCTATACTACTGTTCTGGCCCCTAATTTTAACAACGGATTTTTTTTTCAGTTTGTCACTCCAGCGTGCACTCATGTAAACACTGGTGTCTTTGATGCTGCCCTTTGGGGGGTACTGACTTTTGAAAATGTTAGAGCACACACCCCTCCCCACCCGGATTTAGGGGCCATCAGAAGCTGGCGTTGCCCTCCCGGACTAACGGGGCTGAGAAATGTGAGCTCCAAGCTTTCATTTCTGCACCAGTGTGACCAGGGGCAGTCACTCAGGCCCGGAGCTCATACCTCCATCACCTAATCCCCAGCTGCCTGACCTGGGGGTGTTGACCCCAGGGGGAGGGGTGGTCAGAGAGCTGAATGTGGCAGTCGTGAAAATGTTGGCCATGCAGAAAGTTTCAGAGCATGGGGCTGGAGCGATAGCACAACAGATAGAGCATTTACCTTGTATGCGGCCAACCCGGGTTTGATTCCCAGCATCTCCTAGGGTTCCCTGAGCACCGCAAAGAGTAATTCCTGAGTGCAGAGCCAGGAGTAACCCCTGAGCATTGCCAGTGGGACCCAAAAAAAGAGAAAAGGATTCAGAGCATGCAACAACCAAAACAGACTTCAGAATCAGCTGCATCGTGAACCCCAGGGGTCTCCGGCAATGACCCCTGAGGTTGCGTTTCTTGGGACGTGCAAATGTGCTCACCGGGAGAGGCTGGCGGGGGTCTCTGGCACAGTCACCCCTGGAGCTCACCAAAGAACCCCCTTCTGCTGCCATGTCCCCAATCTGTTTAGGCTGAGCTGTCTGCCCACAGTTGGGTTCGCACACAGCAGGTTGGGAGCAGCTGGGTATGGTCAGTGGCACCAGGGCCTAGGCTCTGTGTGTGTGGCCCCTGGGATGTGAATTTACAACCAGACACTTGCAAAACAGGTGCTCCTGGTCCAAGCCTCTCCTCTGGGCCAAGGGTACCATTTGGGAAGAATGATTTACGCTCACGGCTTTGTTCAAATGCTCTAGATGCTAAATGTGGCCAACTGGACACATTTCAACTGCACTTTTAAATTTTGGGGTGTTGTATTCCTTTTTCTTGTTTTTTAAAAAAAAATTTTGGATCACGCCCAGCTGTGTTTAGGGCTTGTTCCTGGCTCTGGGCTCACTCTGGGCAGGGCTCAGGAGACCATATGGGATTCAGGGATTGAACTTGGCTTGGCTGAGTGCAAAGCAAGCACCTGGCTCACTGGACTATCTCTCTAGCCCCTTAACTTCACTTTTGAAAGCAGAACTGAAGTCCAGCTTTTCAAGCTACAGTTTACTCTGGCATCTTGGGCCGTGTATTTTAAAAATGGGTTCCCTGGGCCAGAGCAATAGCACAGTGGGTAGGGCGTTTGCCTTGCACCGCCAGGAGTGATTCCTGAGTGCAGAGCCAGGAATGACCCCTGAGCATCGCTGGGTGTGACCCAAAAAGCAAAATGACAGGGATGGATGGGACACTCCTGGCTCTGCACTCAGGAATCACTCCTGGCGGTGAGTGCTCAGGGGACCCTATGGGATGCCGAGGATCAAACCTGAGTTGGCTGTGTGGAAGGCCAGTGCCCTCCCTGCTGACCTTTGGCTCCGGCCCGCAGCCTCTTGGCTAACCAGGCCCGCGGGCCTTGCCGCGAGCACCGGGCTGAGAGCTATGTGCCCCCTTGGCTGTGCAGGCGGTGACGGACATGAACGGGAAGGAGGTGAGCGGACGGCTGCTGTACGTGGGCCGGGCCCAGAAGCGGGCTGAGCGGCAGAGTGAGCTCAAGCGAAAGTTCGAGCAGATGAAGCAGGACCGTCTGAGCCATTACCAGGTGAGGGGCAGTGGCTTTTGGGGAGAGGGACCAGTGAGCAGAAATGCTGAGCCTACCCATCTCCGCAGTCCTGCCCCGAACGCAGCTTCTGGGATGTGCGGGAGGCGGGGGCGTGGAGACCAGTAGCTTCTGGGCATATGGGACCATCAGAGCAGTGGGGATTGGGAGCAGAATAGTGGGTGAGCAGGACTTCCGATGTCCCCCCCCCACCCCCTGCTCCCTGCCCCCATGGTCCATGCTGCCCCACCATCACAAACCCTTCCCTTGCAGGGGGTGAACCTCTACGTGAAGAACCTGAACGACTCCATTGATGATGAGAGACTCAGGAAAGAATTCTCCCCCTACGGGGTGATCACCAGTGCAAAGGTGAGGGCTGGGGCCCCTGTGGGTAACCTCCCCTGATCAGCCCCCACCTCCCAGGCTCCACCCCCTCACCCCAGGGTTTCCAAGGAATTGGGGCTGAACTGCTCCCTCTGGAGTGGGTGGGCTCTGCCCCTTGCTCCTGGCCCACTTGCAGCCTTGTCTGGGCAGAGGGGCGAGGCAGGATCTGGTTCCCGTCACATAGAGGCACTGCGGGGTGCAGGTGGGACCCTGGGTCCATCTCACATACATTTACGAAGTGCCCACTGTGTGCCAGAAATGCGGCTCCTAGATTTTCCATTTTGTTGTGATGGTGGTTTGGTTTGAGGGGGTCACATCTGGCGGTATTCAGGCATTACTCCCGGCTCTGTGCATAGGGATCACTCCTGGCGGGATTTGGGAGACCCTCTGGGGTGCCAGGAATCGAACCCAGGTTGGCAGCGGCATGCAAGGCGAGGACCTTCCCTGCTATATGACCGCTCTGGCTCCAGACTTAGCATTTTGCGTTTGCTGTGGGACCCCTGGCGCCACCCCCTTCTGGGCCCTGGTTTCTGGTTCAGCTGAATGTTGGGTTGGGCTGCCTCATTCTCTCTCCATCTCTCTGGCTTCTGGAGCACGTTGTCTGTGCCCAGGCCCTGGCGCGGTGCGTCTGTAGCTAGGGCTGGGACCAGAGCAGGGGTCCCAGTCTGCGCTTTGTCTCAGCTGATGCCTCTGGCTTCGCCGGGAGGTGTCTTCCTCCACCTGGCTGCGCCTGATAGAGCTCCAAGGGGCTTCTTAAACGCAGGCTCCTCAGTCAGACACTCGCATGTCCCGCTCTGAGAGCAGAACCTGCTCATTTTAGTGTTAGAAGCTCCCCAGATTTGGGGTGGGGCACACCCAGCCGTGCTCAGGGGTTACTCCTGGCTCTGTGCTCAGGGGACCATATGAGGCTCCAGGGATCAAACCAGGGTTGGATGCATGCGGGTCAAGCGTCCTCCCTCATGCATTATCTCTCTGCTCCCCCCCCCCCATATAGTTTTAGGCAATCTGGTGTTCGTTTATTCCACTTGCAAACCTGTTGTCTTAGCAGGCCTTGAGGAAGCAGTAGCAGGTTCACTGTTGTCCTTCCCTCAAGAAACTTAGAATCTAGTGGCCAGATCAATTCATCACTCACTCACACATATTAGAAAGCATCTGTAGATGAGGGTGAGCATTGAATGTGGAGCGTTGGGGAACAGGAAGGAGGGCTTCCTGTAAGAAGTGGTAGTATGTTTGACTTGGCTGTGAGGAGGCAGGGAACTGCTGATGGGTCCTGAGGAACTTTCCAGAGAGATCAGTGCAGTTGCTGGATGGGGTCTGCATCTGTAATATTTTTTTTCTTTTTTTGGCCATACTCAGTTGCACTTAGGCACTGCTCCTGGCTTTGTGCTCAGGAGTGACCCCTAGCATGGTGCTTAGGGGTTTGAACCGGGGTCTCAGATGCCAGAGTTGCATGTAAGTGACCACAATCTCTGGCCCCACCTGTGATCTCAGGGAGTGGTTTAGTCCCTGGATTCTTAAGCACATGGTGCTGTGTGATGAGAGGCAGAGGGTTGTGAGAAATTGAACAACGGTAAACATTTCTATTTTATTTATTTATGTTTTTGGTTTGGGGGCCATACCTGGCAATGCTCTGCACTCAGGAATTACTCTTGATGGTGCTTGGGGGACCATATGGGATGCCAGGAATCAAGCCCAGGTTGGCTGTGTGCAAGGCAAGCGCCCTTCCCATTCCCATTGTCCTGTCCCTTTGACCCGTAAAACATTTCTGAGGGCCTGATCAAAAATTAATCGGAAGTCAACCACATCGTGAATCCGAGGTGCTTCTGAATGGGGTTCCCCAAGCTGCATTTCCCAGGTGAATAGGAGATGAAAATGGAAAAGGTGTAAGAAACCCTGAGCTTAGACTTTCTCGATTGGGTGTTGAAGGCGATTCTGAACGTCATTCGGGGACCTCTGGAGGCTAGCAGTGCGCTGTTGGGGATCTAGACCAAGCATAGGTAAGTCTGATGGAACCTTCTAGCCAGCGGCGGGCTCGTTCCCAGGAAACATAGACATGGTGGTCTGCTGTGCTCAAGAGGGGCTCAGGACCCACCGAGCTCTGGATCTCACCGCCCTAGATGAGATGAGCTTCTGTGGATCCTGAAATAGAAACTGCCTTCCTGAGGCAGACTTCTTCTTATTATTATTTTTGAATGTAAGAGTACTGCTATTTATTCAACCATTGATTAAGCTGACTGAATTGGGCACGAACTCCGCATTACTTTTATTTTTATTTCTTTTTCTTTTTTTCTATTGAATCACCGTGGGATACAGTTACAAAGCTTTCATGTTCGAACACCCATCCCTCCACCAGTGCACTCTCTCTACCACCAGTGTCCCCAGTATCTGTCCCCGCTCCACCCCATCCCAGTCCTCCCCCTGCCTCCATGGCAGGCAATTTCTCCAGTCCTCTCTCTCTACTCTTGGGCATTATGTTTTGTTGAGGCAGAATTCTTTTTTGAAAATTTTATTTATTTATTTATTTATTGAAACACTGTGGGGAAAGTTACAAAGCTTTCAGGTTTAAGTCTCAGTCATGCAATCACCAAACACATTTCCCTTCACCAGTACTTATTTTTCACCAAGAAGAACCCCAATATACCCTCCTCCCATCCCTCCCAGTGCCTGTGAGGCAGATGAATTCTAGTTAACACTCTATCAACTTTCATTAGATTCATTGTTTCGACAAAAGATGCACCATTATTATGTTGAGTTTACACCCCCAAATCAGACCTGTTGGAAAGACTGTCCTCCCGTTGTTCATCGATTTTCTTGAGCAGGTCCAGTAACGTCTCTGTTGTGAGACTTTGTTGTTATGTGTGTGTTTGGCATATCGAATATGTCACGGGTAGCTTGCCAGGCTTTGCCGTGCGGGCGAGATACTCTCAGTAGCTTGCCGGGCTCTCCGAGAGGGGTGGAGGAATCGAACTCGGGCCGGCCATGTTGGCTGCATGCAAGGCAAACACCTTACCCACTGTGCTATCGCTCCAGCCCATTGTTGAAAAGACATAGTGAAATAATTTGTTTCTATAGCTGGTTACAAGAATCAAATGATGATGGCTCATGATTTTGGATTTCTGATATTTTACTTATTAAGCCTGGAAGTATTTCTGAGGCAGAATTCTTGATTTGCCCAGCAGTGAGGTGTGAGGCCCCCATTGTCTACCTCTGGGGTGCTCCCGAATGCTGAAAAGGCTGACCCAAAACCTCCCCACATAAACCAGCCATTGTTGACTTAGTGATCCCTTCTCTATCCCAACTGCCTTCTCCCCCAGCATGAGGCAGGCTTCCAAACTGCGGAGCGATCCTCCTGGCCCTTGTCTCTACTGTCCTTGGGTATTAGTCTCATATTATGATATTTTATATTACACAAATGAGTGCAGTCCTTCTATGTCTGTCCATTTCTGACTCATTTCACTTAGCATGATATTCTCCATGGCCATCCACTTATAAGAAAATTTCATGACTTCATCTTTCCTAACAGCTGCATAGTATTCCATTGTGTAGATGTACCATAGTTTCTTTAACAGTTATTTGTTCGGGTTGTTTCCAGATTCTGGCCATTGTGAACAGTGTTGGCAATGAACATACAGGTGCAGATGTCATTTCTACTGTGCTTTTTTGCACCCCCAGGATATGTTCCCAGAAATGGTATTGCTGGGTCATATGAAAGTGCAATTTCTAGTTTTTTGAGGAATTTCCATATTGTTTTCCAAAAAGGCTGGACCAGTCCGCATTTCTACCAAAAATGAATGAGAGTCCCTTTTTCCCTGCATCCATGTCAGCACTGGTCGTTCTTATTCTTTTCGATGTGTGCCAGTTTCTGTGGTGTAAAATGGTATCGCATAGTTGTTTTGATTTGCATCTCCCTGATGATTAGTGATGTAGTTGCTCTGATATATATATTTTTTCATTCACCGTATTCAACACAGAAGGAAATATTGATGTGGAGTGAAGGAGGCCACTCTTTCCGGGCCTCCGTCCCCAGACCTCCCTGCTGGGACCCACAGGGTGGGACGCCCTGAAGCGTGGTGAGGAAGTTGCGGTGTGGAGCATGCACCCTTGGAACCGACAGGCGGAGTATTTCAGCTCTGGTTCTGATGGAGTGTGTGAGCCAGGCCATTGTCTTCACCCCACCCCAACCCCTAAAAAATCTCACGGACCCTAAATGCGATGTGACTGGGTCGGGGAGGAATGAGTCAAGTGAAGTTGGGGTTGATAAACACAACCAGGGTGGAATCAACCCAGCTTCCGGTTCCGACAGTTTCACTTAGCCCTGGGGCTGGGGGCTGCGCTTGTTTGCAGTTTTTCTAGAACCCTTAAGTTATTCCAACATAAAGGTTACATTTTGTTTTTAAACAGCCAGGGGACAGCATATGATGCTGGGGGGTGGGGGGGTCAAATACAGTGCCTCCCACATGCAAGCCAAGTGCTTCACAACTTGAGATGCATCCCTGCCCCCAAACTGTTATTTTCATCTAAAAGGGTGAGCAGCTGCCTCCTCCCCGCTCCCTAAAGGACTCAGCTCGGTCCTTGTGGACTGAGAGTCCTCAGAGCCTGGCTGACCTTCAGCCTGTCCTTGGGGCTGCCCTGGACAGCTCACCTTCCACTTTCTCCCCACTTCCCCATGCCCCCCAGGAGACTAGGGCTTTTTTTAAAATTTAATTTAATTTTATTTTGCTTTTTGGGTTTGTTCGAGTGGGCCCAGTAATATCTCCATTGTGACAATTGTTACTGTGTTTGGCATATCGAATATGTCATGAGCAAATCGATGAACAACGGGAGGACAGTGACAGCGATGCACAGGGGTTACTCCTGGCTCATGCACTCAGGAATTACTCCTGGCAGTGCTCGGGGGACCCTATGGGATGCTGGGAATTGAACCTGGGTCAGCCATATGCAAGGCAAACACCCTCCCCGCTGTGCTATCGCTCCAGCCCCTAGGGCTTTTATTTTATAAGACTTCCGAGGAATTTTTTTTTTTTCGCTTTTTGGGTTACACCTGGCAGTGCACAGGGGTTACTCCTGGCTCTGCACCCAGAAATTACTCCTGGCAGTGCTCGGGGGACCATATGGGATGCTGGGAATCGAACCTGAATTGGCCATGTGTTAAGCAAATGCCCTACCTGCTGTGCTATCGCTCCAACCTGTTTGTTTTCTTTTTGTCTGGCGAACATACCCAGTGGTGCTCAGGGCTTACTCCTGCTTTGCACTCAGGGATCACTCCTGGTGGGGCCCAGGGGACCAAATGGGGTTTTGGGGATAGAACCTGGGTGGGCCGTGTGCAAGGCAGACACGCTACCTGCTATATGATCACTCCAGTCCCTCCCCGAAACATAACTTTTCAGAACATTCTCTTATGCAATGTCCATAACTGGGGGCGTCTGAGTGGGCTCGGGAAGGTTTTCATCACGGTGACCTCAGTTGACGTGTTTGAGATGGTTGCCCTCACTGAAGAGCCTTGGCTTTGGTCTTCGGAAACTCTTGAGAAGCACCTGACTGACTTGTTCCCTGTGGTGAAGGGCCGTTGGGTCATGGTTTCAGCTGCTTTGCAAGGTGGTGTGGTGTAGGATAACACTGTTTTGTCCTTCTCCAGGTAGCTTAGGTTTATCAGGTCACACCCATCTAAGGACACTGAACTTGTAAGCAATGTCCTTTCTGTGTGGACACAGGAAGACAGTTAATATTATGCTTTGTAACTTGGGAGTTGATTGACTCCAAATAATATTTACTCCTGGGCATCTGCTTTCTTGACTCAGTCGCCCTTAGTTCCTAGCACCCCAAAACCAGGGTCCCGACGATGGACTGAATGGACCCAGGGCAAGCTTTGAGCTACCCTGGCATCAAAATGGGCCAGGCCAAAGCACCACGATACTCAACTATAAGTTGAAGGCATGATCATGGACAAATGCTGTCATGATCCAAAGTAAGTAACGACGAGACTTGGACCCTGTTAGGGCTAGGAAGACTAACCTGGCCTGAGGACTGCGGAATGTATAATGAGATGTTTATATCTCTTACTGTGCTCACACAGAATGACATTGCTAGGAATATTAGAAGTAGATTTACTAAAACTATTTAAGTAGATTACTAGCTGGGGAAAGAACACACCCTTGTTAGGATCCCACCCTTGAGCAGATCTCCTAGTAATCTGGAGTAATCTCTTTAGGTGAGATTTTATCCTTGAGTTAATCTCCTGGAGGAGTGGTTTTACCTCTCATTGTTGATTTGTCAATATTCAACCCACCTTTATGTCACCGCCTTACGTGATTGCTATATAAACTAAGACTATAAGCTCAGAGAGGGGAGTCAGAGCGAGAGGGGCTCAAGCTTGAGAGAAAGAACAGCCGTCCTGATCCAGGCCACACACAGGGCTCAAGAGCACTGAACGCAGGTGGTGAGAAAGGGCCATCCAGTGAGCCCGTGAACACACAACCTTCGGCGTGATAAGATTTTACAGTGTGGGAAAGTCTCTGAGGAAGGAGAAGGCTGCCCCGCTGTTAGACAGCAAGCAGCCCTGTCTTACGGGGGTTGGCGCCCTCCCCTCACCAACCTCATCTGCCTCAGATGACTGGGCCTCAGCTGAAGGGAAAAGGCAGGCCGAGTGTCTGGCACGCAGTGGGCCTCAGTAAATGTGGGGGTGACGGGACCCCCCTAAATGGAGAGTTCTCCGGGTGGCCCGGTGTGTGTGTGGGGGGGCCGGGCCAGGGGGAGTTGGCGGGGCTCGGGGCCCCAGGGCCTGCCCCCACCCCAGCAGCCCTTGTCTTGTCTTGCTTTTAGGTGATGACAGAGGGTAGCCACAGCAAGGGGTTTGGCTTTGTGTGTTTTTCCTCTCCAGAAGAGGCAACGAAGGCCGTGACAGAGATGAACGGGCGCATTGTGGGCACCAAGCCGCTCTATGTGGCGCTGGCCCAGCGCAAAGAGGAGCGCAAGGCCATCTTGACCAACCAGTACATGCATCGCCTGTCCACCATGCGGGCCCTGGGGGGGCCCCTCCTGGGCTCCTTCCAGCAGCCCGTCAACTACTTCCTGCCCGCCGTGCCCCAGGTGACCCCCTTTGGTGACCTCTGGGGAGACGCGGGAGAGAGGAAACTTCCCAGCTGGCCGTTCCCTGCCCCATCCGGAAACGGGGGCTCCCGGGTGGCTGTCAGGCAGCAACCGCACGCCTGAGGCTGGACGACACGCTTGTCCCACATCCTGAGACTCATCACCAGACAAGTGTGGGGAACGTGGCCTCCGGGGACGCCCAGAACTCTGGCCAGGAGCAGTGACTGCCCACTCCGTGGAGATGGTCACTCGAGGGGCACCTACTCACTTGACTCCTAAATGCTCCTGTGCTGAGTGGCAAAGCTTGGGGCAGTACCCAGGGGGGCTGGAGGAAGAAGGAAGATGACCTGAGGCTGTCACACCAGCACCTGTGTATGGCCGGGCAGGGCGTGGCCCTGAGGGAGGGAGCTTTGAGAGTGTCCCCACCCCGTTTCCAGGAGGGTCGGGCGTCCCTGGGCTAAGGGGTCCCCACCCCGCCTCACTCCAGGCTCTCCTCTCCCCCAGCCCTCAGCCCAGGCTGCCTACTACGGCCCTGTGGCGTCCATGCAGCCTGCCCCCAGGTGCTGGACAGACCAACCTGCAAGAGCCTCATGTGAGTGACACTCCCCTGGACTCTCTCAATTTCCCGGTGTGGGTCCCCCGTGTGTGTGTGTGTGTGTGTGTGTGTGTGTGTGTGTGTGTGTGTGATGTTCTTGTTCAGAGCACAGGTTTTGGGCCAGGGGTAGCACATTTGGTTTTATTTCTGCCTCGGGGCCAGTCCTGGCCAGTGCTCAGGGCTTATTCCTGCTCCAGGATCACTCCTGGTGGAATTGGGGGATGCCACACCATGCCGGGGATTGAGCTTGGGTCAGTCACTTGCAAGGCACTTTCCCTCCATGCTGTGCTCTCGTCCTGGTGGCCTCAGAGCTAGCTCAGGGGTTAGAGCACACGTGTGGCACGTGGGAAACCGGGTTTTGAGCTCCAGAATCATCTGGTCCCCTGGGCTGGGAGCAGTTCCTGAGCACCACCAGGTGCGACCCCCAAGTCCAAAACAAACAGAACCCCAAAATTACAGACTTTGGGTGCAGGTTTGCTCCCCCAACCTCCCCTGGGGTCACGGGCAAGCATGGTCCCCTTGGAGCCTGAGTGATCTGGTGGGATTGGCTGGCACAGGGCCGGGTTTCACTTTGCTCCAGACCCTCAATTGATGGCCTGAGGAACAGGGAATGAAGCCTGGGTTGCCTTGCCGTGTGCTCCTGTTCACTCGGACACACGACAGGGAGGGGACCAGGACGTGCCCTTGAAGCTATGTGTCAGGTGGCTTTGGTTTGGGGCCACACCCGATGATGCTCAGGGCTTACTCCTGGCTCTGCACTCAGGAATCCCTCCTGGTGATGCTTGGGGGACCATATGGGATGCTGAGGACCAAACCTGAGGTGGATGCGTGCGAGGCAAATGCGCTAACCACTGTGCCATCTCTCTGGCCCCTGGCTTTGGAAGTAGAGATGTTCCCCCTGGCCCCTACCATGGAGTTCTGGGGTGGTCTGAGCGAATCCACCCGCCTTTCTGCTGGAGATGTTCTAGGTTCCCCTCCCTAGGAAAACTTAAAGCACCCAGGAGACCCTATACTTACCCCCTTCCCGTCTCTCTCTTTTGACTGGGGGGGGTGCCGCCAGCTGCCTACCATCCAGCTGTCTCAATGTCCCGGACACCTGTCATGTCACCTCAGCGTCCCCTGGCCTACTTCAGCAGCACCAGACAGGCCTCTGCTTTGGGGTCACCCCCAGTGCCCCCCACCCAGAGCATGGGTAAGCGTGGGTAGGGCTGTGGGAGCGGGCGCAGGGAGAGGTGAGGGTTGGGCTTGGCCCTGGCGATGGGGGGAGGGCCGCAGGATATGGGGTGGCTGCCACACTGACGTTGGAGAGTAGGACTGTCTTTGGGGGTCCCTGGGGTATCTCAGTGAAGGTGGCTCCTGACTCCCAGCGTCTGTTCCTGGGACCGATGGCCTTGCTGGCTGCTCTGTCTTATCAGCCCAGTTTTTGACACAATGGCCCTGGTTTTGAGCCCCCCCCCCCCAAACTAGTAAGGAGGAGGAGGGCTGGAGCAATAGCACAGCGGGTAGGGTGTTTGCCTTGCACGCGGCTGACCCGAGTTCGATGCCCATATGGTCCCCTGAGGACCACTAATTCCTGAGTGTAGAGCCAGGAGTAACCCCTGTGCATCGTGGGGTGTCTATATATATATAGCACAGCGGGTAGGGCGTTCGCCTTACAAGCGGTCAACATGCCCGACCTGAGTTCGATTCCTCCGCCCCTCTCGGAGAGCCCGGCAAGCTACCGAGAGTATTCGATATGCCAGACACAGTAACAACAAAGTCTCCAATGGAGACGTTACTGGGCCCGCTCGAGCAAATATATATATATATATATATATATATATAGGCCCTCCCGTTGATCGTCGATTTGCTCGAGCAAATATATATATATATATATATATATATATATATTTTCATTTCATTTCATCATCCTGTTAATCGTCGATTGCCTCGAGCAGGCCCCAGTAATGTCTCTTTCATCCTAGCCCTGAGATTATATTCAGGGCTCTTTAGGAGAATGAGACCCATCATTGTTACTGGTATTTGGCATATTTGGTAGGCCACGGGGAGTTTGCCAGACTCTGCCCTGTGGGCAAGCTACATATATATATAGGCCCTCCCGTTGATCGTCGATTTGCTTGAGCGGGCCCAGTAACGTCTCCATTGGAGACTTTGTTGTTACTGTGTCTGGCATATCGAATACTCTCGGTAGCTTGCCGGGCTCTCCGAGAGGGGCGGAGGAATCGAACTCGGGTCGGCCATGTTGGCCGCTTGTAATATATATATAAAACAACAAAGTCTCCAATGGAGATGTTACTGGGCCTGCTCGAGCAAATTGATGAACAATGGGAGGACAGTGACGGTAATATATATATATATATAGATATATATATATTGACTTTTATATACAATATATATATTGACTTTTTCAAGCTAGTCCAGGAAGAAATGGTAGGAGTATTAAGAGTGGTGAAAGTCTCTCTTCCTGGGGCTGGAGTGATAGCACAGCGGGTAGGGCGTTTGCCTTGCATACGGCTGACCCGGGTTCAATTCCCAGCATCCCATAGGGTCCCCCGAGCATGGCCAGGAGTAATTCCTGAGTGCATGAGTCAGGAGTAGTCCCTGTGCTTGCTGGGTGTGACCCAAAAACTAAAACCAAAACTGAAAAAAAACAAAACCCAAAAGAAGCTAGTAAGGAGGAATAAACAGCAGGTCCCATACAGCTGAGAACAGCCCCCTGGGAGGGCAGGAGCCCGTCAGCCAGCAGCGGCCCTGAAACAGGTGCCTGGTGTGGGGATAGGCGAGCCCGTGGTGGCCGTCTGCCGGCCCATCGTGCTGGGGACCGGGCTTGCTCGCCCATGGGCTTTCAGGGGCTGCCACGCCCTGATCTCCCCGCTTCTCCCTCACAGCCAACATTGGGACCCAGACCCCCAGGCTCTGTGACACGGGCTCTCTGCCGGACCGGCCTCTCGGGCCGCACTGCTACTCGTCTGCGGTACACGGCGGCGTGTGCGGGGTGAGGCTGGCCCAGCTGTCACCCAGTGCCCTTTCTGTTTCCTGGGCTGTCGGCTGTCATTCGTGAGCAAGCACGATCCAGAACCTGGTCTTACCGACTGGGGGAAAGAGGGCCCGGGTCACAGCATGTTAATGACCGTTTCCCTTGCCTGGGTTCCGACCCACATGAACTGGGGCGGGGGAAGGGTGTGATTTGTCATGAAACAGAACGGAACAGGGCCGGATCACTGGTACATCGGGGAGGGTGTTTGCCTTGCATGTGGCTGACCCGGGTTTGATCCGCAGCACCCCGTATGGTCCCCTGAGCAGCACCAGGAGTGACTCCTGAGTGCAGAGCTAGGAGTAACCCCTGAGCATCGCAGCACACTGGCCTGTAACCCAAAAGCCCCAAACAAACAAGCAACAAGCAACCCCCCTACATACACCCGCCAAAACTCAGAACAGAAAACTGGCAGTGATGAACATTTAGCAGCCAGCCAGGGACGCACCTCCCTGCCACCTCCCAGCCAGCGCTCTCAGCCCGCTGAGGGTTCCAGTGTGGCTGCCTTGTGCCACCGTCGAGAGTAGCAGCAAATGCCAGGGGCCCAGGGAAAAGCACTTTACTTTGTGCTTTCACAGGGGGGCTCGGGCAGTAGAGGGCGAGTTTGTCGTGTGCTGCCCGTGTCCCAGGTGTCTCTTAGATGTTCGCCGTCTTGGGCTCCTCTGGTGGCTGAACAGCGTGTCCTGGCCCTGTTGCAGGTTCAGGAGCCCAGCGTGTGCGTGCCCGGGAGGGAGTCCCCCGTGTACGTCCCGGCTACAGAGCCCCTGAGTGCTTCCATGCTGGCCGCGGCACTGCCACACGAGCAGAAGCAGATGATCGGTGAGTGGCTGTTCCCCAGCTCTGGCGTGGCCGGGGGAGGGGAGCCCGAGATGCTGGGAAAGGCCCCAAGTGAGAGCAAGGTGGGAGGACAGGATAGCTGCTGGGGACCTTGCTGGACTCACTCGGCCTGTTTCTCTCACTGAACGGGGTGTGTGTGTGTGTGTGTATGAGAGAGAGAGAGAGAGAGAGAGAGAGAGAGAGAGAGAGAGAGAGAGAGAGAGAGAGAGAGAGAGAGAGAGACCCCTTGCCAGACTCCCCCGGCCGTGTGTGTGTGACCTTGCCGGACTCCCCCAGCCGTGTGTGTGTGTGTGTGACCTTGCCGGACTCCCCCGGCCTGTTTCTCTCACTGAACGGGGTGTGTGTGTGTGTGTGTGTGTGTGTGTGTGTGTGTGTGTGTGTGTGTGTGTGTGTGTGTGTATGACAATAGCACAGTGGGAGGGAATTTGCCTTGCACAGGGCTGACCTGGGTTCCATCCCCAACACCCCATATGGTCCCCTGAGCACCGTCATGAGTGATTCCTGAGTGCAGAGCCAGGTGTAGCCCCAAAACAAAACAAAAAACAGAGGGAGACCCAGTGTTGCCCGGGAGTCCTCTAGCTCTGTGGCCCTGGGCCCAAGCAGCCGTGGCTGGGAGCAGGCTCAGAGGTTGGTCCCAGACGGGCGTCTGCCAGGAAAGGACCTGTGGGGGGGGCATCGTGGCTCCCACGCCCCTCCTGAATGGGAAGAACGGTCTCTGCCTCTCATCGGTCTCCCAGAACCCACGGGAGGATGAGGGGAGCACCCGAGCAGTCCCCGCCAAACTGACACCGTGTGTCGCCACCTCTGCCCCATGCTATTAACAGGCCCTGCTAAGGGCCGGCCGCTTCATCCCAAGCTTGGGCTCCTTCTCGGATGTTTGCTCAACTCACTCGAGTTTCTGCCACTTTACGCCCAAAGAATTCTCAGTGGGCTTTAATGGAGGTGGCAGGCATCACTGGGCTCATGGGAAAATGTCTCCCAGATACCCCTGTGCACCCTCTTCTCACTAGCCCCTCGGGGCTGGCTAGAAGCACTGACGGTGGTGGGCCACTAGGTCTGTTGTGTCCAGCTGCCACTTGGGTCAGCGTGTAAGTGGAAACCCAGCTTGCAGGAGTGAGGGTGGCTTCAATAGCCTCCAGCCTCGGGCTCTGTGGCCCTCCTGCTTGGGTTGAGCCTTTTTTCCTCTTATCTAATTTTTCGGCCACCCCTGGCGATGCTTAGGGGTTAGTCCTGGCTCTGCCCTCGCGGGGCCCAGGGAATCGTAGGGATGCTGGGGATTGAACCCGGGTCCGCTGCGTGCAAGGCCAGTGCCCTCCTTGCTGTGCTACGCCCCTCATCTGGCTGTGTGGTGCTGGGAGAAGCTTCCGGGAGGCCATGTGGGCTGGGCAGGAGCAGTCCTGGGCCGAGGCTGGGTGGGGACAGACGCCATCCCAGGCTGTTCCATGCAGGTGAGCGTCTCTTCCCCCTCATCTCCGCTCTCCACACCCAGCTGGCAGGCAAGATCACGGGCATGCTGCTGGAGATCGACAACTCGGAGCTGCTGCTCATGCTGGAGTCGCCCGAGTCCCTTAACGCCAAGGTGGGCATGGGCACCTCCTTGACTCCCACCCCCCAGGCCCCCACTGCTTGGGTGTGGACCCCCTCGGCATTCCTGGGAGTGGGAGAGGGTCCGGATCCCGAGGTTCACAGCAGGCCGGGCTGACTCAGTAGCGGGTGGCGAGGTGCCAACGGACCGAGGCAGGCGGGCGGGCTGGTCTGTGGCGCACCAAGGTGCCCCTGGGTCCCAGCAGGGACAGCGAGGCCAAGTGCTGCCCCTCTGTGTCCTGCAGGTGGAAGAGGCTCTGGCGGTGTTGCAGGGGCACCAGGCCATGGAGGACACAAGTGGGCACTGAGGCCGGGGGCGCAGGTGGTGGGCACGGGAGCAGCACCCAGCGGCTGGAACTGTGCAGGGGCTGGTGCCAACTCACTGCGGAACTGGGGGACAGGGGTCCCTGGGGTCTCAGGGGCAGTGCGAGGCTGACGCCCGTGCCAAGGGCAGGAGGAAATCCAGCGCCAGCTGCACCTGCTCTTGGCCGCACTCGGCAGACACGGCTGCCGGGCCAAGCAGTCTCGATTCTTGGATGAAGACTGGCTGTGTCCTCTGCTTGAGAGGCTTGTTTTACGCTTTCAGCCCCAGGAAAGGTCCCGCCCCCGCCCCCGTCCCCGTGGGGCGCATGGTGCTTCCTGTCCCGTGAGCAGGAGCTCAGCCGGGCGGCATCAGCTCCTCACTGTCCACTCCATCATTAAAAGCGCTGCAAACTGGCTCAGCTCCCAGGAGGCTCTTTGGGTCTGGTGGGGGTGAGATTGGTGGGGGGTGGGGGGGGTAGGGCAGCACTGAGTCTAAGGGACAGAAACCCAAATGAGAGGCTGGAGGTGCCCCGAGGGGCAGGATGGAAGGAGCTGCTGGGCCCCCATCGGGCAGACAGCTCAGAGTTCGGCGAGAGGGTGACTCCTCCTGACTGCACAGGCCAAGCCCAGAGCTGGCAGAGAATGGAAGGACAACTGGGCTGGAGGGAGGATGGGCAGGCGGCTGGTCCATGGGCCGCTGACCCAGGTGGGTCAGCCAAATGGTCCCCTGAGCACTGCTGGGTGTGGCCCCAAATTAAAACCACACACACACATACCCACCCCAATTTATGTAGAAGAAAATCTTTTAATGTAACTTATAATACATTCAACAAAGAGAGAGGGAAAGACAGAGTCCAAACGAACATGCTCCAAAGAATGAAGCTGCCTGGAGGGGCCGCTGGGAAGGTCCCAGGAAGGATGCGGATGGTCACTCTCCCGACCGCCCTCCGGGGTGGCCACCCATTCTGTGCTTTGGGGACAGCTTTGACACCTCCACGCGGGAGGCAGTGACACAGACGGTCACCGCAGCGACGTCCAACCCGGATTCCACACCCCCGTCGGAAGGGCCAAGGGAGCCCCAATCAAGAGGCTGTGGGGCCCGAGGCCGGGACTGCGCCTGAAGGGCAGAGGCAGCGGCCAGTGAAACCAGCTCACCGGGCCGCCGAGGGCCCAGGGCCTCCCGGTCCCCCTCGCCATGCCCAGTGGAGAGAGAGGGGCAGCGTTGGAGCTGAAGCGCGGTCAGGACAGGGACGGAGCGCGCAGGGCTCAGGCTGGGGCATGCTGGGGCCCGCAGGCAGGCACGGAGGAAGGAGGGCGGGCAGGAGCGTCCCTGCGGCCCTCCCGGGGTCTCAGTTTAAATTCCGCTTGACTTCCTGCTGCAGCTTCTGCGCGGGGCCGTTGGTGGGCTCGATCCGCAGGAGGCTGCTGAGGTCGGCAGCGCTGGATCTGTAATCCTGACCGGAGAGGGGGGTGAGTTCGGCCTTGCCCGACCCGCGGCAGACCCCAGCTGGCCTTAACCGTGCCCCCGCACGCCCGGGTCTATCGACTTGTGGGTCCTGCCAGGTCAGGATCTTCTTACCTTGAGTGCTTTGTAGGCTTGAGCCCTCCTGTAAAAGGCCTTCACGTTCTTCCCGTCCAGCTTGAGGGCCTCGGTGCAGTCCTTCACGGTGTCCTTGTATTGATTCAGGACCAAATGGCAGAGCGCTCTGTGGGGAGAGGCCACGCCCGAAGCACCAGTGACTTCTCAGGGGCTGCTGCAATCCCTCCTCTTCCGGGGAGTCACCCCAACTCGCCACCTCTGCTCTGCACCTGCCACTTGCTCTCTTCAAGCCCCGGCCCCTCCCTGCCCTACCCCGTCACGCTCGCACTCAGACCACCAGAAGGCTTCCTGCGTCCTTCTTGATGGACAGAAAAGGTTGCCCCAAGAAAAAACGAGCACAGCAGTCCCGAGCCAGAATCACAACTATGTCGGGGGGAGGTGAAAAGGTGCGCCAGACAGAAACTGTATGGAAACGTGTGTCCTTTCTTCTAAAAAAGCCCGCGAGACCTCACACTCCGGAACGTCCGTGTGCACGGATGACTCTTGGATGTCCACACGGGTGGGACCCCGGGGAAAAGAGTCGGAGCACTTAACATCCGTTAACTGATGAAATGCGCTCCAGAAAAGCTATGTTCCCCACCCAGCATCACCCAAGTGCAACCAAGACTGCGGCCCCCGCCCAGGGAAGCACATGGTGGGAAGGGCAGGTGGGCCAGGGTGCGAGGCCAGTGCCGGGCCAGAGCTGCCCCCCAGAAGACCGAGTGTCCCAAAGCTGCCCGGTGCCTCTGACCAGGCTCTGTCTTGTCTTGTCCCCCCTCCGCACAACCCCGAGTCTCTGCAGCCCTGATGCTGGACAGGCCCTACGAGATTCTGTGGTCTGACTCCAGTCCCCCCACCTTGTGGACCCCAACTGGCATCCCCAGGTAGAATTCTTGTCAATTCCTGGGTCACAAGGAAACTAATGGGGAGTCAGCTTTAGGGAATACTAGTCCCTGACATCAACTCTGAGTAGGGGGAGTGTGAGTGTGTGTGTGTGTTTGGGGATTCTAGGATTCTAGGGAGACCAAAGATGCCTCCCCACGGGCTTGAGGCAGTGAAATGGTGTGGGAAGCAGTGCAACCACCCCAGAAGCCTGATGCGCTCTGCCGCGACTTTGGAATACAGACGGTGTGATGAGTCGGGCCACATGGTGACTCTGAAGACCCAGATGTGAAAAGCGGTGGTGGGAAATGCACACCGGGGAAGGGAGGGAGGGGTGCTGGGGCATGTATGACTGAAACCACATCATGAATAACTGCATCTCGCGGTGATTCAATTAAAACAAAACAAAACAAAACTGTCTTTGGTCCGGCTGCAAACAGACTGTTCCTGTGTCTGGCCAGAGGTTGCTCGATGGATGAGTGAGAGGAGGAGGAGGGAGTAAGAGGATCCTACGCCACGTGCACCCGGGTAAGCCTCAGCTCTGCCTGAGGCGTTGGGCCCCAGGCCTTTCCTCCGGCTCTCCGACTCTGCAATGACCCTTCTGGCCTCTCAGGGCCTCGGCCAACTGCAGGTTCTGCAGCCACTGCTGCTCGGGGCGGGGCACCGACGGGCTCTGGGACTAGGGTCAGCGCAGCCAGTGTGAAACTCAGCTCTGCAGGGGCATCAGTTCTCAGTTCTCTGAATTAAATCATGTTCTCTATCAGCTCGACAAAAAGGGTCCCAAAGTTGAACTAGAACGGGGCCAGAGCAGTAGCCTGCAGCAGCCTGCAGCAGCCAGCCCGGGCTGGATTCAGCATCCACAAGGAAATCTTGAGCCCACCAGGAGGGATTCCTGAGTGCAGAGCCAGAAGAAGTCGGCTCTGAGCACCACCCAAAAAAAAAAAAAAAAGAGAAAAATCTGGGGCAATAACCAGGAACATGCTCATGAAAAGGAACTGTGTGCAGTGTGCACTGTGAAGAGGAGCAGGAGTTTCAGCTGAGGCTCAGGCCAGGGAGAGTGGAGGGCATCAGGTACTTGCCCTGCAACCCACTAGGCCTGGCTTGAATCCAGGCACCATATGTGGCCTCCGGGGCACAGCTGGGCATGGCCCCTAAACAGAAACAAACACTGACCCCAGAGAAGGGACAGGGTCAAGGTGCTGACTGTGCACGCAGCCAACCCCAGTCTGAGCCTGACACGACAAATGGTCCCCCGTGCACTGCCAGGAGGAAGCCTGTGTACAAGTAAAATAATCTGTTTGGTTTGAAACAAAACAAAACGGTGGCACTGATACCTACTTGTGAAGAGCAGTAAATGACATGGTTTGCACGTGGGACAGTCCAAGGCAATGGGCCAATCAAGGTTTCCAGCAAGGCCAGAATATTGAGCGCTCAGCCTTCCGCTGCATCAACTAGGCACAGCCGCACCCTGGTCCGACTCACTGGGTGCAAAATACCTGCGTTCACGTTGGGCTAAAAAGTCTGTCGTGGTACCACCCACATGATGGTAAAATTTCTAGGAGTTTCACCGTAGAACAGCAAACAATTCCAGTGAGACCACGTGCCCCTACTAGAAAGCCTGAAACATTTTCTGCCAAGAGTTCTGGCTACGGAATGGTTCATCTCCAGCAAAGATTCTGAACCAAATCAGAGTACGTGTACATTGGGGCGGAAGGCGAAATGATAACGTTTCTGAGAAGTGGGTCAGAAGTGCTCCCTTGCTGAGAGTAAATAAAATGAACAGAATGACTCACTGGCGTCCTTGGGTCCCACCGTTTACCCACTGGGAAGCCGAGGCAAAGCCCTTCCTTCTGAGTCTCGGTTTGGCCAACCTTCAATCTCGAAGACCTAAACTTACTCCCAATGTGCGCGGATACTGGAGCAGAGCAGGGTGAGGGGCTAAGAAAGGCTTGTGGTGTGGCAGGTATGACAGCCCCTCCCCCCACCCCCCAGCAATGCCTGCCTCACGACCTGTTTTGAACCAGACACTCTGTGCTCGGGATGAAGCACCAAGGAGACAGGGAGCGGAGGCCCCAAACTGCCCAGGCCAGCGGCTGGCGAGAGGTACCTGTTGCTGTATGTGGCCGACTCCAGGTTACTAAACGAGAGGCTTTCACTGTACTTCTCAATAGCTTTCTTATGGTTTCCCTTCTTTACAAGCTCATTGCCTTCTTCCTTCAGAACTCTGGCTCTCTCCAGATCCCCAGCAGAAGGCACTAGATGCAAATTCAGAAGAGGGAAAAAAACATAGAGCAGGCGCCCGGCTGAGGGCACGGGAGCTCTTCAGCGTCACCTCAGCTCAGTCCCTGCACAAGCTGCTCTCCGCACAGTTCCTGCACAGCTGCAGCGGGTCCCTCTGCACTAACCAGACCCCCCCGCGTATGGCTTCCGGGGGGCTAAGGGGCGTGATTCTTTTTTTCAGAAGAGATCAAGCCCTCCAGTAGAAACAAGCATGCACATAGCCTTGGGTCTGCCCATGGCACCACCAAACAGCTGAGCTGCCTAACTCTGTTCCCTTACCAGTGCCATGGGGCAAGGCCTGGTTGACACAGGGCTACCGTCAGGGTTAAGGTTTGAGAAAGTACGTGAGGAAATGCGGCACCCCCTACAAGCAGAGAGCGGAAGAGTGAGTACTTCAAGCAAGCATCTGAAGGCACAGAGTTCAGGTCTTCGGTAAAGGACAGAGGACCAGGGAGACGCTCTAAGGACTGGGAGCACTGCTGGGTGGAGCCCCCCCCCAACCCAAAAAAGCAAGAGAGAAAAAGCCAGGAGAAACCAGTGTTCCTGTGGGGCCTCAGAGTCCGGACCGTGAGTATCTGCTCTCACCCACCACGGGCAGCTGCGCCCGGTCTTCAAGGAGAGAGAAGGCACACGGGCTGAAATCCAAGCGCTTTCACAGCCTCAGCCCTCCTCTGTGCGGCCCCAGCGAGTCTTTCCAGCCTTGGCTCCTAGAGTAGTTTTTAATTTTTAAAAACTCGGAAAAAAAAAAGGAAAGCCACCCTACTGAATATTGATGACGAGGGTTAGGCTTTAGGAATAAAACAATACCCCCATCTGCCTTGTTAAGTATTTATGACTGGGCGGCAAAGTGCATCCCTCGCCCCGAGGTGTGGGTCTGATCCCTGGCACCACCACATGAGACAAAGGAACCCTCCTAAGCCCTCGGAAGCAGCCCCCACGGAGGGGGTCTCCGGCCCCGAGTCTCCTCCTGGGTTTCTCTGGGCAGGCCTGGCGGTATCTATATGTCAGTTGCTGACTTCGCTTCTGAACTTCCTGAAGAGCAAAAGATGCCACAGGCTTTCCTCTGACCTGTTTCCATCCCCGTCCCTGTCCCGTTCCCGAGCGTCACCCAGACTGACTGGAACCTGTCCTAGTCCTCTCGCAGCCGCCATCCCACAGCGGACACCCAGCCTCCGGGGCTTCTGGCGGTGGCCAGTCCTGCCGTTAACTCACAGCTGCCATCAGCCTTCTCGGACCCGGGGTCAGTCGGCAGGGAGGCAGCAGGGTGCTGGAGCCGGCAGCCGTGGCCCATCCTTCCCACTTGACGCCAGGAGCAGAACTGCTCGGCAACTGTCCCCTGCCACGACCCTCTCCAGCTTCCCGCCAGCCCTGCCTCACTACAGCCCTGCGAGCCCCTTCCCGACCACCCGGCACAGTCCTGCTCGGCCTGCCCAGGTTCCCTAAAGACTAACGGGGCTCCCGCGCTGTTCTTCCTCCCGCACTTCACAGAGCTCTGCTTCTGGCTCTCGTCGGGCTGAGCGGGCCCTGCCCTGTCTTCAGTGCTCCACTATGGAGCACCGGGCCTAGACCACAAACGACTCAGCGACTAGGAGCGGAGTTAGTGACGGGTACTGAAGTAACCGAGTTCACTAACACCCCAGGTAACACCTCAGCAGGAAGAGCGGCAACAGTCACTAGGACCCTACCCTGCCGGATCTAACCGCAAGGTCCTTTGCATTTGCCTGGGCCCCAGCCCCGACCCCTTTAACACCTCAGTATCTAGCTTGTTGGGGCAAGGCTCATTTCTTGGAACATTCTGGAGCTCCCTGGTTGGCCTCTGCCCAAAGACTGGCCTTGTGGCTTTCCACACCCAAACCCGAGCTAGCCCCGACAGGAGTGCAGATGCTAAGAGCTGGAACAAGGCAAGGGCAATCCCACCCACACCCACTGGTCTAGTTCTGAGTGTGGCTGGTGACTCAGGGACACCCTCTCTCAGGGGAGCCGTCCAAAAACCCAAAACAACCCTCCCGTTGGCCCTCTCCCTGGGTCCCGAGGCAGGGGAGATTACACGAGATGGGAATGCTCTCCCCTCTGAACTCCCGAGAGAAGAAGGTGCCAGAGACAGAGCGGACAGTGGTGACGAGAGAGCTGAGAGAACAACAGAAGTGGAGCTGAGCCCGGGAACATGCTGAGCTGCTGGAGAAAACCCTGCCTGACCCTGACCCGACGCTCCTGGAGTCAATACATTTTCCTGGTTATTCTTAGTGGTGTGCGTGCCATCAAAAATAAACTAAGCCTATGTCCCCAAGAAGACACACACGGTCACTTAAACATCCTAAGGGACCCAGAGGCTGCCCCAGGGAAGAGAAGGGCACTGGGGCCGGCCCCTGCTCAGAGCACGGCATGGCCCTCGCCACGGCCGTCACTGCACGTCTGAGGGCCGAGACTCTGGGTTCTGGCCGCGTCTATCTGGTGACTGACTCAGAGGGGATGGCGCTCCAGGGACTGCTGCAGGGAGACAGCCTGAGTGCACCCGGCGGCGGCTTACCTCTCCTTGCCGTGGAAGCTTCCGTGGGGGGCACGGCATCCCACCGCTTCTGAGCGGAGACAGGCACCAAGGGGATAGTGGGCAGCTTCAGGCGCCACTCAGGCCCATGGGAGCTCATGAGCACTCTGGTCATCCTGCAAAAGACGGCAGCGTTACAGGGGGCTTCCGGGTTGCGTACAAACGGGCGCCCGCCTGAGAGGAAAACGAACTGCTCGGAGGACTGGAAAGAGGTCAGGCCTGAGGGTCAACCCGAGCCAGGGGACGTGCCGCCAGTCCCGTGCCCCAGCTGCCTGGCTGCCAGGGTCGGCATTTGACAGACCTCACTGTGGGGACCGCAGACACTGCTCACGGCTGCAGCGCGTGCTCTGATGCGCTACACACCATTGAAACAAGCCCCGAGTACTGCTGGGGCAGACTCCAAAACAAATTGCGCTGTGAATGACCCCACCATGTAACTGTGACCCCTTAAGCACTTGCAGAATACAACACCCTTCCCTCTCCCCACTCCCACCCCCCAGAAGTTCCTGAGGCCCATTCTCAGCCTAGCAAAAGGGGGCTTCCCGGAGGATGACCAAATTGAAAGGCCTGGACCCGCCGGGGGCACGGGGGTGCCAGAGGCGGGCTCACCTGTTGACGCCGTCCAAGGCTGAGGTCACGCGGTCATCGATCTGCAGCGCTGTCTTGTAGTCGACGTAGGCCAGGGGGTACTTCTCCAGGGCCTCATAAGCTGCCGCTCGCCGCAGCAGGGGCTTCAGGCTGAAGGGAACCAAGGCCAGGGCCCTAGAGCAGGAGCACACAGGTCACCTGGGAGCACGTGGGAGACAGGAGGCCGTTTCTGGAGAACGGACAGACCCCGCCCTGGAACTGGGGCTTTTCTGCTCACTGACCGGGGGAAGCACAAGCGGGCAGAGAACCAGTGTGAAACTTGTGTGTCCGCTCTCCAGAACAGCAGTGCCCCCAGGGGACCCCAGGCTGGCTACCAGACTGCCTCTAGCTTACAGGAGCCTGGGCCTCCACGTTCTCCTTGCTCCTCTCTAGGCGATCCCCAGCTCTCTTTCTTGGCGTTGTCTTTCTCACACACACTGGCTGGTTACCTAGAAACACACTCGGGCAAGCCAGTCACTACGCCGTAAGGGGAGCTCCTCCCAGACACTAAGGTCTGGGCCTACCTACCCGGTGCCTTTGCACCAACGGAGCCAAGATCCCCAAACACAGGCAGGGCCCAAAAGGACCGAGCAGGGATTCTACTCTTGAGAGAAACTGAGACTATTCCTCAAAGTGTCACAACCTGGACGCACTTGGTGCCACTTTCTGTACTGGCCACTGATAAAAGTGGTGGGATCCGCTTAAGGAAAACCAGGGGATGCAGCTCAGAAGGCCCGTGTGAGGCCCTGACTCAGCACTGCAAACAAACATGAAGTAGCGCTGGACCAGAGAAACACACCCCCCACCCGCCGACCCCTACATCACGCACGTAGTGCAGTCCTGGATGCAGTCAGCGCAGTTCCCATCCTTCAGGTGACAGGCGGCCCGGTTGGAGTAGAGGACACTTTCCTTCTGGGGGTCTGATGAACCTGCCCCGGCGGAGGTGGAAAGTACGAGAGGGCCATCAGCGGGCGCGGGAGAGGCGGCCCAGGACAGGAAGATGCACCCCCACCCCAAGCGTGGCGGGCGGCGGGGACGGGCAGCTGGCAGCTGAAACCTGACACAGCCCCAGAGCCTGGCCTCCGGGGGCACCTGGCGTCCTCTCATTCGCCCGCGCCAACACCAGGCCTGGCGCTGGGCAGACCTGAACACGAGAAGCGAGAAGCGCGCCCCTCTCCTCGAATCATTCCACACCCTTAATCATTTCGGGGTGTGATTGTGTTAATCTTATTAAAGCCTGTAAAGCCAAAGAAAGGGAAAAAGGGGTAAAAGTACCTCAGGCTGAATCGCCTGGATGGGTGTTACGGAGGCTGAGTTTGCCTGATTGAGTGAGGGGAGGGGGAAGGACTTGGGGGACTTCTCAGATGTTTCCTACAGGCTTCATTGCCCTAAGGAATCACAGAGGCTCAGGTCCATTAGGGCCATATGGACACAATAATTTTATTTTCAATGAGGGGGCGAAGAGCTCCTGTTGTGCTCCTGGCTTACTCCTGGCTCTGCCCTCTGGGATCACTCCTGGGATGGGTTTGGAGGACACCATACATGGTGCTGAGAACTGCACCTAGGTTGACCACGTGCAAGGCAAGTGCCTTACCCACTGTACTTTTTCTCTGGCCCAGTAATTTTTTGGTTCTATTGTTCAGCCACACCGGGCAGTGCCAGGGGTCACTTCTGCGGGGCTTGGGGTTGAACCAGCTCAGCATTGTGCAGGGCAAGCACCCTACCTACTACACGCTATCACGGTAGCTCCCTGGCCCTGTAATTTTTATTTGAAAAAAAGATTTCCCCCCCACTAACTTCAAAAAGACATATGCAACCTAAGTTCACTGCAGCACTACTTATAAAATCTGGAACCAACACAAACGTGCAGCACACGAGCGAATAAAAAAGGTGTGCCACATACACTCAACATACTCAGCTATGAGAAAGAAAGCAATCTTGCCATTTGCTGTAACTCAGGCAGAGCGAGGAGGAGGTCACGATGAGCGAGATAATTCAGAGAGAACAGGACAACCAGAATAATCTCTCACACGCAGCATATCAACACGCGAGAGGGGACTGACAGGAATGAGTGCAGACACTCAGGCTTTGACTACAGAAGGGAGGCGTCGCGCAGCTCTAGGTGGGGATGGTAAATTCGGACTCGCATGTCTTAAGGGTAGCAGCACGGGGTCACTAGGACTGCGGTGACGACGGTGGCACAGAAACTCTGTCCCTTAAAAACACAGGCAAGGGCTGGAGCAATAGCACACAGCAGGTAGGGCATTTGCCTTGCACGAGACCAACCCGGGTTCGATTCCCAGCATCCCATATAGTCCCCTGAGCACCACCAGGGGTAATTCCTGAGTGCAAAGCCAGGAGTAACCCCGGAGCATCGCCAGGTATGACCCAAAAAGCAAAACAAAAAACCAAACAAAAAACACCGGCAGGGGTGTCCTGAGGGGTGGTGGGGCTTGGGCTGGTGGCTGCAGGCAAGGGCTTAAGGACACCGTGCTGCCTGGGCCCTACAGTGCCAGGAACTGCCCAGGGGCTTTTTTTTTGGGGGGGGGGGCGCTCCGCAATGCTGGGGACTGTGTGGTTGGGGCTAGGGATGGAACCCCCAGGACTGGTGGAATGCGGTAATGTGGCCCCGGGACCAAAGCCTAACCCTCAGCACAACCGTACCCACGCAACTTCAGATACAGTACAAAAACAGTAACCTTTCAACCTTTCAACCAACTCATCCCACAGGATGGGCCAGAACTGAAAGAGAAACTACCACGTATTGATTCCATTTCTAGGAACAGACCTCAAGGAGCGGACAAGCAGCTCTCCTGAAACATCTGAAGCAGAGAGAGAAGGCCGACCTCCGCCCTACCACCACACCACCACACGCATATTCTGCCCGCAGCCCTTCCCCCTTCCCCCTGGGGGCCGCATCACCCAGCCCCACCCTGTCCTTTGCTCTCTTCCTGAACCTAGAGGTCAGTCTACCCTGAAGCTGGGACAACACTGGCCCAGGATTATCCTGCAGGATTATCGGGCCAGGAGGGTCTGACAGTCGCAGCTAAGCTGCAGCATCGTTCCAGACCTCTGAAAGCTTCGCCTGGGCAGCATGGCACCCCTCTTTCTGCAGCTGGCTTCTTGCAACTGCAATGGATGTGGCATCTTTCACTCAATTTCGGTAATAACAGACCCAGCAACACACCATCACTTCTCTGACGAGGTTCTTAGAGCTCCAACGTGCAGAGGTGAGAAAACACACGTGGCCCTGGACGAGAAAGCACGGGTGTCTCTGGACGCGTCACCTGCCTCACCACACCAGGGGCGGGCGACTCCGAAAAGCAGCGGCGTGTGGTGGAAGGGGACGAGAACCACAGGCCCCCAGACCCGCCTGTCACTCCATCCCTCGTGTCAGGTGAAGGGAGCAGCTCACAAGACGCTCACGGTGCGAGGCGGCTACCTGCTCCCTTGTCAAGATCAGGAAAAGTAACCAGAGAAATAAACCATTCATTACCCCGAAATGAATGGCCTAGAACCTAGAAACTGTAGGATCAGGACCAAACTCTGGTTTCCTACCAAGTCCAGACATCAGAACAGCTGCTCTAGGAATTCAGAATAGACATATAAAGCACATTCCTTTCTTCCGGGCTGGCTGGGGTAGGACTGGAAGCAAAGGCAGGAAAAATACCTCAGATTTCTCAGCAACTTCATCAAGTGAGGCTGAGATGAGGAGGGTTCCAGGGGCGGGAGCCAAAGGACAGCGGGGAGGCCACTTCCGGTGCACGCCGCAGACCTGGGTTCAACCCCCAGCACCTACTGGTCTCCCGAGTCTATTAGGAGCGATTCCTGAGTGCTGAGACAGGAGAAAGCCAGGACACTGCTAGGTGTGGCCCCAAAACAAAACAAAACAAAAAAAAAAAAAAGAGAGATTTCCAGAGGAGGCAAGAGCGGCTTGTACCATAAGCATTCAAACAGGCAAGACGAGAATTAAGAGGTGATTTGGGGGGAGAAGTTTGGCAAACTTGTTAAAAATGTGGAGTTGGGAGTCAGACCGCCCCACAGATGAATCCCACCGCTGACATGTCCTCATGTCCTTGGGGATGGCAACTCAGCTCTTCAGGGTCCTCATTTACAAAGTGTCTTTGTCACAGTTAAACACGGAGAGAAAAAAGGGGTAACATCCATAATGCCTAGCACACAAAAAAGCACTCGACAGATGCTAGCCGAGGACAGAAACAGAGAAGCAGGTGAAAGAAAATGAGTACAGGGCGGGGTGGGGCACAAGGGCTTCCCGGGAGGGCAAGAACCTTAGGGGGAGAGGCTTTGGAGGAAGGGCTGTGGCTGGTGAAATGAGCCGCAGGTTGGCACAAGTGTGGGCTGCAGAGATGGCACCAGGGTAAAGAAATCTGCCTGGCAAGTGCAACTCAAGTTCAATCTCCAACACTGCAGGGATCACTCCTGAGCACAGAGCCCCCAAAGGCACTGACCACCGTAAGGTGTGGCTCACCTGGGGGGGATTCAAACCCCACCCCTTACCTTGGCTTTCTGTGAACAAACCTGTCCACCTGAGCTGCCTTCCTTGGTCACTGGCTCACTAAGCTGTGGCTTCCAGAACTATGCTTGCTCTGATTGGGGACCTCTGTAATCACAGTTTCCTCTGCCAGGAAAGTCCGCAGGCCAGACTTTGGGTATCTGGCTTCCTCTCACCATTCAGGCATCACCCCCAAATATGAGTTCTTCAAAGACGCTGTGCTGCCCCTGCACCACACTGTGGCCCCTTGCCGTCAGCTCTCAATCACAACACATTCATCTTCACTGTCCCAAACACTACCAGAAAGTTGTTACACATCACTTATTCACTAATGTAAGATTCACACCTTGCACTGGGGGAAAAAAAAAAAAAAAGAGTACAGGAGGTCATCAAGTGTCTGTATGTGGCTGGCCCCAATTCAACCCAGGACACCAAATATGGTCCCCTGAAAACCACCAGGAATGATCCGTGATATAGACCTCAAGCCAGAAAAAAAAAACCCCTAAAATCAAAATAATAATAAAACAATCATCATACGATTCAACAGCTCCTCGCTTGGGAATATATCCACATTGAAGATATATGCACACCTTTATTCCCAACAGCCAAGATGTGTAAGTAATCTTACACGTGTCTGCCCACGGATGGAAGGATTAAGGAAAAAAAAAAGAAACAGCGGATGGTACAAGGGCATATTCAAAACAGGGGCGGGAAGGGAAGAGCGCTAAGAGGCTGGAGCATTAGCTTCGCATTCACTTCGATCCCCAGGGGGCTACCTGGAGTGACCTGGGGCAGAGGAAGGGGGTAGATTCCCGACCAAAAAAGCAGGGGCTGGAGAGTTAGTACACAGTGGGTCAAGGCACCCCAGAGGTGTCCGTCTCCCCCTCCAGCCCCCCCACCATCCCGTCATATGCACCCAGGCTGGACTATATTCTTCGAGGCTTTGGTGCTAAGTGACTTCAGTTGGGTCACACGGAAGTGCCTATCCCCCGACCTGTGCAAAGCACTCAAAACCCCAGGCACCGAGAGCAGGAAAAGCGGAGTCCCGGGGGCCAGGGAGAGGGAGGCAGGAACCCAGGCCGGCTGCGGGCAGGCAGGGGTCGGTGCCGCCGGGTCAGCAAGCCCCGGACACGTGACGCGCGGCGAGGCGGACCCGCAACCCCCGCACGTGGCCCACCGGGCTCCAACCCGGAAACGCGGCCGGGAAATGCAGCGGGTCCCGGGAGCCCCGCGGGGGGTGGGGGGGGCGGCCTCCCCCTCCCCCTCCCGCACCAAAACAGAGCAGAAAGATGCTCAAACCGGGGTTTATCACAGTCTAAGAGGAAAATGAAAAAAAAAGATAGTACACCTAGAGATACAAGAAACGTCTGTTCAGTCGCATTTTAAGTGAAAAAGAACCAGCAGTGAGCCGGATTCTCGTGAAAAACGGTGGAGGCGGGGAAGGGGGGTCAGGACACGGTGGGGCCGGGAATAGGGGCCCTAGGGTGCTGTTCTGTTTTTTCTTTGGGGGGGTCACAGGGGAGCGGTGGCGGGGACAGCGGCGGGTTGGGGGGCTCGGGGGGGCTACCTTGCGCCTGCAGCGCCTCCAGCGCGCGGCTGTAGAGCGCGGAGGCCTCGGCGAACTGGCCGTTGCGGAAGCTCTCGTTGCCCGCGGCGGACAGCGCCTCCACAGACTCGGGGGGCTGCGGCGCCATCCCGGGGGCTGGGCCGGCGCGACGCCCGGCGCCGCCGTTCCCCGGGGGAATCGCGCCCGAGGCCGTCCGGCCGGAAACGGCGCGCGCGGCCCGGGCGGGGGCGGGGCCGCGCCTGCGCACACGCGGCCGCCCCGCCCCCGCCGCCACCGCGCGCGCCTGCGCACACGCGGCTACCCACTACCCCGCCCCACCCCAGAGCCGCGCGCGCCTGCGCACACGCTGCCCACCCACCCCTCCCGAACCGCCGCTGCCGCCGCCGCCGCGCGCTTGCGCAGTGGTGGCTCCGGGCTTCGACTTCTAGGTCCCGGGCGTTTTGGTGCCTTGTGGGCCTTCGAAGAAGCCGAGGATCTCGTACTGGGATTGGTGCTACGGGAGAAACTAAAGCAGGGCGAGGGGAAAGGCCTCTCAGAGGCACTTACTGAGCTGAAAATGGGAAACACCTGTTGGAGACAGAAGGAATAGCAGGTGCAAGGGAAATTACTTGTTGCAGCTGTTGATTTTGAGAAATGAAAGGTGAGGGTCGTTGCTGAGACCACCGCTTATTTTCAGCCTCTCTGGATTTTACTCTAAGTCCTACTTAGGACTCTTTTTTTTGTTTATTTTTAAAAATTTTATTATTATTAACATTGTTATGCTTTTTCGGTCACACTCAGGGATGCACAGGGATTGCTTCTGGCTCATGCACTCAGGAATTACTCCTGGCGTGCTCAGGGGACCCTATGGGATGCTGAGAATCGAACCCAGGTCGGCGGCATGAAAGGCAAATGCCCTCCCCGCTGTGCGATCGTTCCAGCCCGCTACTCAGGACTCTTGCTTGTTTGAAAAACTGCTTTACCTTATTTATCATGACTGCAGACCTTTGCTTGATCATTTTTGGAGCCGCCTGAAATTTTTTTTTTTCTGCAAACTTTAATGTTTTTTCTTCCTTAGTCCTGACTCAAAGTACCATCTAGCCAAACTTTATCCCTGAAGACCTTTCTAGACGTTTCCTCTCCTCTACCAGGCCTGTTCTCAGTTCCTGCTGCTTTTGGGTTTCTCTTCCATTTGTCATATTCTCAAAGACTGAGATCTTTCAAGGCAGGAAGGAGAATTTGATCTTTGTCTCCTTTACACTAATATGATCTGGTTCTTTACATGCTCTTATAAGGGTTTGGTGAAAAATCTGCTCTCCTGGGAATTTAGTTATAAATGTTTGCGTGATCTGTTAAACTAAGCAGATCACATATTTTCTGAGTCTGGGTAGCTATTACTTCGGAATCCCTGCAGTCCAGCTCAGGCCCCACATAAGAGGAAAGTACGAACATTTGTGTGGTGGAAAAACTGAATAAGGCATACACACCTTGGTTACCTACGCAACAGCTTCCATCTTCATTTCATTTCATTTCATCATCCTGTTAATCGTCGATTGCCTCGAGCAGGCCCCAGTAACGTCTCTTTCATCCTAGCCCTGAGATTATATTCACGGCTCTTTAGGAGAATGAGACCCATCATTGTTACTGGTATTTGGCATATTTGGTACGCCACGGGGAGTTTGCCAGACTCTGCCCTGTGGGCAGGTTACATTCGATAGCCTGCAAGTTTGTCCAAAGTAGGAATGAGATAATAAGATGTCATAAAGAAAAGTTCTGATAAAATGTCGCGCGGCCGCATTTGCGGTTCCGGGATCTGGATTTTATAGTCTCTGAGTCTTGGCCGCTGATGGGATTACACGGCGCCAGGGGGCCAGGTGGTGGGTGTGACCCCTGCCTACTGGAATTTGGAGGATCTGGGTGGAAGATGCTCGACTCCAATTCGAGTAGGCTTGGAGGTCTCGGCCCCGGAACCCACGAGGCTTTGTCCCTCTGCCAGTACCTTCATGTGTGCGGAGAGTGGTCTCAGCATGGTGGTGGCTGGTCTTGGAGGTCTTCAGCTGCCGGAGCCCCGGTCGGGGCGGGGAGGAAAGCTCGACCCGCTCCCCTCCAAGGGGTCCCGGCGAGGGACACCCAGGCGCGGGGGCAAAAGATTGCACTGTTCTCGTCCGGGATCTGGATTTTATAGTCTCTGAGTCTTGGCTGCTGATGGGATTACACGGCGCCAGGGGGCCAGGTGGTGGGTGTGACCCCCGCCTACTGGAATTTGGAGGATCTGGGTGGAAGCTTCCATCTTAGCTTCCAGAAATCTGAATTTTACTAAATGTTCTCCAGTTGCAGTATGAACCGGGTTTTCTGTATCAATCAAGGAAAATGTTTCTTTTTTCAACTTCAGCCAGTGATTGGCCATGAATCACTAAACATGCGACTGTAATATGACAGTAATATGATACAGGAAGATATCTGTTGGATATTGTAAAGTTTTCCTTTCCTCCTTGGTTATGAGGACCCCAGAATAGCTTCTTTTGGTTTCTGCTTTGGGTAGTTTTGGGTTAAGACTATGATATGTGGAGAGATGGTACCCACTTTGGAACTATGAGGTAACGAGCCCAAGTTTGGAAAGTCAAGACTCTGAGTAGGATCAAGAGTGGGAAGATGAGTTTGAAATTAGTGAGCCATGGAATCAACGCTGGAACTTCTGACTTCTGAATAAATAAGTTACGCACCACGAAGATGTCTTTTTTTCTTTTCCCTGCAGCCCCGGGATGGCGCCGCAGCCCCCTGAGTCTGCGGAGGCACTGTCCGCCACAGGCACATTTATCCTGTGTGACAAGTTGTATTTTCTAATAAATGTCCCAGAATTAAGATAAAAGAAAGAAATTAGAAATAGGGTGGGTGCAGTAGTACAGGAGGTAAGGCCTTGCATGTGGCTGACCCAGGTTCTCATATGGTCCTGGAGCACTGCCAAAGGGGTGATTCCTGAGTGCAGGGCCAAGAGTAACTCCAGAGCACCACCAGGTATGGTCCCCAAAGTAAAACAAATTGAAAATAAAAAAGTCTTAGTCAAAAGAATACTCTGGCCATCCAGTTGTTCTAGAACTTTGCTACTCCCCATCAAGAGATGAAGTCTATGTCTGCTCTCTCCGAAAACAGGGGTCTTTGGAACCCCCTCAACAGTGGAAATTACATTATGCTTCTTTCAAGTTCTGCTATTTAAAAGCATAACACCTTCCTCTTGTGGCTCTTCTGCAGAAATGTAATCTAAAACCTAACCTTTATTCTGTGAGGAGGTTCATCAAAAGAGACGTTGCCCCAGCAGCCTGGCACCAAATGAGCTCCAGGTCACACACAGGCCAGCACCATAATCTGCCCATCTGGAGAGGGGCTTTCTTTGTTCTTGAACAGGATCTGTCCAAATGCTGACCCTGATGGACACTGGGAAAGAGATGGGCCCTCCCTGCTGAGCCATGCTCAAATGGAGATTTTTTTAAAAGTTTTAGTTTCAAGATCAAACACACATTCCTCACACATGCAAGGTCTAGTACTAAGCCACATCACTGACCTGTTAAGATGTAGATTTTTGGGGAAAAAAGTAACTATGCCCATAGATTTGGGGTAGTCCTTCCTTCCTTCCTTCCTTCCTTCCTTCCTTCCTTCCTTCCTTCCTTCCTTCCTTCCTTCCTTTCTTCCTTCCTTCCGCCAGACCCAGCTGAGCTCAGCTTTCTCCTGACTCTGTACACAGAAATCACTCTTAGGGGGTTGGAGTGATAGCACAGCGGGTAGGGTGTTTGCCTTGCATGTGGCCAGCCCAGGTTTGAATCCCAGCATCCCACATGGTCCCCTAAGCACCGCCAGGAGTAATTCCTGAGTGCAGAGCCAGGAATAACCCCTGAGCACTGCCGGGTGTGACCCAAAAAGAAAGAAAAAAATCACTCTTGGCAAGGCTCAGGGGGTTTAGGGATTGAACCCAGATCAACCCAATGCAAGGCAAGCACCTTACCCTACCCATTGTACTATCTCTCTGGCCACTTGTGGGTAGTTTCTTATACATAATCATATAGTTGGAATCCTTTTGGATTGTGTATGCTCTGCATAAATGCCAGGAGTGATAAAATCCTAAATGAAAGGAATTTAGGGGAGGAAGAAACTTAGGAAAGGTTTCTAGAAGGTGGTATATAAAAACCAGCTAGAGGGGGCTGGAGTGATAGCACAGCAGGTAGGACATTTACCTTGCACGCGGCTCACCCAGGTTCGATTCCCAGCATCCCATATGGTTCCCCGAGCACCGCCAGGAGTAACTCCTGAGTGCAGAGCCAGGAGTAACCCCTGTGCATCACTGGGTGTGACCCAAAAAGAAAACACACACATACACACACACACACACACACGCACAAAGAATAAAAGCCCCAAAAGAACCAAAAACAAAAAACCAGCTAGAGAGGCCAGGGAATGGCTCAGTGACCACGGGGTTTCATGGTCAGTCCCACCCCAACACAGTCCATTATAGTTCCAGTGGTCCTGCTAATTAGGATTCCCAGTGGTACAACCAAAGGGGAGGTCACCAGTGCACTGGAATTAAGTGTGTGCCACCTCTAGTCACCAAAACGAAAACAAAGTGGGCGGGGCCAGAGGGCGCTGCCGCCCGCTCGCTGTCCTGGCCGCTGCGCAGACGTCTCACCTGGCGCCCCAGCAAGAAACGGGATGACAAGTGATACAAATGAAGGAGAGTATAAAGCACCCAAGAGGCATGACTAAAAGAGATTTAGCATATTCGTAGAGTTGTGTAATTATCACAATTCCATTTTTTATTTTATTATTATTGTTTTTGCTTTTTGGGTCACACCTGGGGATGCACAGGGCTTACTCCTGGCTCTGCACTTAGGAATTACTCCTGGCGGTGCTTGGGGGATCATATGGGATGCTGGGAACCGAACCCAGGTCGGCCACGTGCAAGGCAAATGCACTACCCGCTGTGCTATCACTCCAGCCCTTCATCACAATTTCAGAACACCGTCATTGCCTCAAATGAAACCCTTTAATCTTTAATCACAACCCATTCAGTCTTCTCCTCCCCCAAACCTTAGGCAACTATTAGCTGATGGACATACTTCCCTCTCCTGCACATTTCACACCACTGCACTGATACACACATTGTCCCTTGGGGTGGAGAGATAGCACAGCAGGTAGGGCACTTGCCTTGAATGCGGCCGACCCAGGTTTGATCCCAGGCATGCCATGTGGTCCCCAGAACCAGCCAGGCATGATCCCTGAGCT